CAGGTACATGCCCTTGACCGGAATCGAACCCGGGACCCTTCAGTCCCCAGGCCGACGCTCTATCCACTGAGCCAAACCGGTTCGGCCACACACTTTTTATTATATTCCGAAATATATGCAGGCTTGGCTTCTTTTCCCTCTGTTCTCTCTCTCCTCCCCACTTTTTCTCCTCCCTCCCTCCATCTTTCCCTCCCTCCCTCCATCTGTTTCCTAATACATCCCTCTTTCTTTTTTTCTTTCTACTGCTATATTGGCTTCTAACTGCTTCAAATTCATCTGATATTCAAGGTCCTCTTATAAATTAGACTATATTTCTAATTGCTCCAGTGTGAATTCTTCAAATTTTATACCTCATTCTGATAGGTAGGTAGGTAGGTAGGTAGGTAGATAGACAGACAGATAGAATTGAGAAACTTTTTTTGCTTTTTATCTACATGTTAGGAAGCAACATGGTTCATCATGGAATGTGGAGTCTACAAATCTTTCCTCTGCAGTTTACTAGCTGTATGCCCTTGGCAGATTGCTCTGTGATCCTCTCTAAACCTTACCTTCCACAACTCTAGTACTATATTGCCTGACTAGCCTGTTCTCTCAAACAGATAGAATTGAAAAACTTTTTTTGCTTTTTATCTACATGTTAGGAAGCAACATGGTTCATCATGGAATGTGGAGTCTACAAATCTTTCCTCTGCAGTTTACTAGCTGTATGCCCTTGGCAGATTGCTCTGTGATCCTCTCTAAACCTTACCTTCCACAACTCTAGTACTATATTGCCTGACTAGCCTGTTCTCTCAAGGATTACATTTTTTTAAATTCCTGTAAAATGTTCAGTACCTCGCAGATAGTAATACACACACTCTCACACACATGTGTGTGTGCAGAAAGTACAGTCTCTTTTTTTGCATATGCAAACATTATGAATTCCTTGTATGTCTGTAAATATGAATAACCTTTATTATTTTTAATGCTACCCAGTAGTAAATGTGTTTTGAAAAATTTAACATTATATGAATAAACAATTTTTATTAATTTGATATCTTTTTAGTGAGAAATGGAGAAGAATCTAACATGCATGGAGTTACACTTTTTATTTTCTAAATCTAATGAGGGGGAGGCATTAGCCCTGTGTTGCTGATGAAGAAACAGTGTCACAGAGAAGTTTAGTAGTTGACTCAAAATTATATAGCCAGCAAGTGATAATCAGAATTGTACTGTCCACTACAGTATGCTGCCTCTTACACCAAATGACTTAAATAACTTCTGTAGGTATGGTGACCAGAAATTCAGACTTGGAGTCTACCAAAGGAGTTTTGTTATTTTAAAATGTGACAGTGTCTAGGATGGTTTCTGTTTTGTAATATTTGACATTAGGCCTATTTCACAAGATACAGGAATAAGGCAGTAGGGCTTTGCTTACTAATCAGTCTTACCAAACAACTAAAAATGTCAGAATTGGCTGTAGATTATTAAATATATCGTGTTCAGTGGTAGAGACTAATATGTTGTCAAAGGCCCAGGGAAAGAGGAACATTTGTTTTATTATTTCTGTCCATTCTCCAGTGTTCAGGAATGCCAGAATTATGTAGGACATTCCAGGCCAGTTTTAAAATACACTGCTTTTATCTGTTTGTCTTGAGGTTTTTGTTTTGTTTTATTTTTCCCATTGCCTGACTTTGTTTTTACCATAGGCAGGTCTAATTAGTAGAATCAGAATTCAGTGGTGGTTAGTCAGATGTGGACTATTTAACATTTGAACAGAACCTTCAACAGCATTATTCATATGAAGTTATAATTTTAATTTATTCATATTCAGTCAGGAACATGGCTTAGTTCCAAATTTCTGCTAAAGCATTTCCACCTCAAGTATCTCTCCACCAGCCAGGGACATAGTTTATAATTTATATCTTTCTCCTGAAGTCCAATCTAATTAGTTATTCTGGATAGACTTGATACTGGTTTTTTTTGTTGTTGTTGTTGTTTTTAGGAATATATATGTATTTTTTTATGTGTTCAGCTATCTGTTTAGGAAAGCTGGTATTCTTTTAGGAGGCGGCTATATTATTATCCTTTTGGGTGGGGAATGAGGTTTAGTTCTGGTTTTGTTTTTGTTTTATCTATTTTTTGCTTTTATTAAATTAAGGGACAGATTAAGTTAAACCTAACAAATCCGTTACTCCTCAGTCTAAGAACCCTTTGCTCTGAGTCTTTAGTGGAGTCTTTTTTAGAAATCTCCTAAAGGTCTTCGCAAAAAATCTTGCAAGAAAGGTTTTAAGTTGTTAAGTCTTAAGGCCTGAGTGCCAGTTGAGTTCCATTTAGCAGTATTTAGCATGCAAGACCAGAATGCTGGTCAACACTTTCTTTGTTAAACTAAATTGCCCTTTTTGTTTAACTTCTCACTGCTTCTGTTGCTCCTAAAAGAAGCTTGATCTTAGTTATAAGGACCAGACAATTTATCTCTATTGAGCACTCATAGCACATATTCTTTTAAGGAAAAAGAAAAGAAGTAAAAATATACCAAAGTACCTTTTTTCCTAATTACTGTATACCAGAAATGGGACTAAGTGGGTCTTGTGGTCAGAGTTCAGTTTTATGTAAACTCCCCCTTCCCCTTACTTTTCCTCGGAGGAAAGATGCTTTTCACGTACAGTGATGGAAGTGGCCAAATGGTGTGCCTGGCAAGAGGATGTTTAGGAGGAATCTGGGTGATATTGGGATAGCATCTTCTAGATGATTGCATCAATTATAACATAAAATATGTATGTTTGGAAAGAACAGGCAGAGAGAATAAAGACACCTCAAATTCCAAGTGATCTTGATACAATCATTTATAATAACACACTTTAAAAGAATATGTCAAGCTTTTTAATTTTTTTAGCAATAACACTTATTTCTTCAGAGGGGAAAGGATGCAGGAAGGGCACTTGTCAGCAGCATGAGCTTGTGTTCCCTTGGCAGGTAGTGACTGAATTCAATAAGCTGTGGTCATAGTCCTATACCAAGGGCTGCAGATGGTAGAGTGCTGGGCTGGTGAAGTACTCTTGGCCGCATGCTGTGGGAGGTTACAGTTCTTCCATAGTTACTTTAGAAAGCAACACATTTTTAATTGGCTAACTCTAGTTCTAGACCAGGGGTGGGCAAACTTTTTGACTCGAGGGCCACAATGGGTTCTTAAGCTGGACCGGAGGGCCAGAACCAAAGCATGGATGGAGTGTTTGTGTGAACTAATATAAATTCAAAGTAAACATCATTACATAAAAGGGTACGGTCTTTTTTTTTTTTTTTAGTTTTATTCATTTCAAATGGGCCGGATCCGCCCCGTGGGCCGTAGTTTGCCCACGGCTGTTCTAGACACTTCATTCTTCCAGTAATTTGCCACAAATTTCTAGTCACACATATTTTTCCCATTTCTGATGGAACTCTATTAGTAGTAATGATAATAACTACCATTTATTGAACCCTTATATTGTGTCAGGTACTATTCTAAGTTCTATAAATGTATTAGCTCATTTAATCCTCACAGCTGCCCTGTGAGTGTAGGAGCTACTTGTATCGCCATCTATACTAATAATAGAGGAATATGCAAATTGTTCGGGACACCATCACAGTAACAACCGAACAGCAGGCTGAGTGGGGTGACAAGGCCAGCAGGGGGGTTAGTGAGGAACAACCAAACAACCGAACAGCAGGCTGTGTGGGGCGACCAGGCTGGCAGGGGGTCAGTTGGGGGTGATCAGGCTGGCAGGAGGGCAGTTGGGGGTGACCAGGCCGGCAGGGGTGGGGGCAGTTAGGGGTGACCAGGCCAGGGTGGGGGGCAGTTAGGGGCGATCAGGCTGGCAGGCAGAGATGGTTAGGAGTGATCAGGCTGGCAGGGGACCAGTTAGGGGCAATCAGGCAGGTAGGCAGGTGAGCAGTTAGGAGCCAGCAGTCCCAGATTGTGAGAGGGATGTCCAACTGCCGGTTTAGGCCCGTTTCCACATGCGGCTCTTTGGCCCCTTGAGTGTGGCTCTTCCTAAGCCTTAGGAGTACCCTAATTAAGTTAATAACAATTTACCTACCTATATAGTTTTAAAAATTTGGCTCTTAAAAGAAATTTCAATCATTGTACTGTTGATATTTGGCTCTGTTGACTAATGAGTTTGCTGACCACTGCCCCTCTAGTTTCATAGATAAAGATATTGAGTCATACAACTAGCAGAGATTTGAACCTGTCACTCTAACTACAGAGCCTATACATTTGACGCCATGTGTCCTTCATGTTTCTGTGATTAATGCATATGGCTCTATAGACTGAAGCCCCACATAAAGGGAATTATGGCTTAAATCTATTTGACCTCTTAGAAATAGTTAACAGGTTTTCAGTCCTTTAATGGGAGACTAAAATTAATTTAAAATGAGAATTCACCAAATGATGAATTACTTATTGTCTCCATTTCCCACCTGATGAAATCTTTATTTTGAGGTTTTTATTTTCTGCCATGTCTTGTCCACATTCCCTTTTCCAGGGGAGTATAGAGGTTTTTGTTTTTTTCCAATCAATTAAAAAACAGTAAATATTGCTTTTAAAAAACCCATTGCTTTTAACATAATGGTTTACATTTTGTCTTTTGATACTTATTGAATAATATGTTTACAGTTAGTCACATCGTATGTGTTTAACTTATGCACTTAGAAAAAGAGAGAAAGAATAACAATTTAAGTAATGTGGTTGATTGCATCTGCCATCCCCCTGAGCGAGCATGTGCCCTGGAGTGAATGGGGAATGGGGGCATGAATTTATCATCCCCTTAAGTTGGCTTTAGTTACTATGTGCCACTCATGGAGTGTTTCACTCTTCTGGGCGTGATTATTTTTTTATACAATGTGGTCTATTTTTTATACAACTGGAAAAGAGCAAGCCCTCCCAAGGCTGGAAGGAAAACTGGCTGTGCCTTACTGAAAGAGAATGTGTTGGTTTATAGTTTTTTTTTCTAGGGTAAGTTCAACAAATGTGCAATTTCTGCCTTACGTGTTTATTTTAGAACTAACTCACTCTTAAGATGCGATTCCTCTGTATCGAGTGCCTGCCTGCTCAATGCCAGGCACTGTGATAGGTATCAAAAGAATTAAAATTTGGTTTTGTCCTTTAAATAATTCACAACCTTGATAGCTCATAAGCAAGGGAGGGTAACTATAGGTAATGGGGAGGAAGAACAGAGTATTGTAAAATTAAATGGGCAAATGCTTATAAATTGCTGTAATCTGACCCAAAATAGTTTATTTTGGATGTTATGTTAACTTTTTAAAAAAGGAATTGTTAAGGTTTATTTTTTTTTAACATCTTTGTATGCCTGGAAGTGATTTGCTAAACTCTGTGGGTGCTAAAAGAACTGTAAGCAAGGATTTTTGTCCTGAAAAATCTTGTAACTCTCTGCAGTTTCATGTATGCCAATCTTGACAGCGTTCACCTGAATAATGATTTATACCTGGCCTTACATCATACATAATGTTTCTTTCTAGGTTTCTATATATTCTATACCAGAAAAGATTGGCCAAGTTCACCATGCCTTGGAAACAACTGTGAAGCTTCTTGAGTTTTTTCAAAACTACTTTGAAATTCAATACTCACTTAAGAAATTGGGTAAGAATCAAACAGTGCCTCTGATTTTCGTTACCATTATAACCTAGAATCATTTTGAAAATGTTTTTTAGATAGAGCTCTTGCCAAAGTTATTATAAAAGAAAACCAAGAAACACAGTTAATGACTTAAAAATTGTTTGTATTTAAGATCATTTAGATTTCATGAGTGTATCTGAATGTGGAGCTTCAAGTTTATGGGGCTGTTGCAAAGGTGCTGTGTAAGTGGGAATGCACTTAGGGCTTAGTCTGGAGTCTAACTGATTCTAACTTCCTAAAAAGTTCTTGATTCAGATAATAAAAACTGAGTAATGGGCCTGGGCCGTGTGGCTCAGTGGTTAAGCTTCGACCTATGAACCAGGAGGTCACCGTTCAATTCCCTGGCAGGACACATGCCCAGGTTGTGGGGTCGATCCCCAATAGAGGGTGTGCAGGAGGTAGCAGATCAATGATTCTCTCTCATCATTGATGTTTCTATCTCTCTCCCCCTCTCTCTTCCTCTCTGAAATCAATAAAAATATATTTTAAAAAACTGAGTAATGAAAGCTCTGGAAAGCAAGAGCATTTCAGTGCTCTTCAGCATGGAGGACACATGCCCAGGTTGCGGGGTCGATCCCCAATAGAGGGTGTGCAGGAGGTAGCAGATCAATGATTCTCTCTCATCATTGATGTTTCTATCTCTCTCCCCCTCTCTCTTCCTCTCTGAAATCAATAAAAATATATTTTAAAAAACTGAGTAATGAAAGCTCTGGAAAGCAAGAGCATTTCAGTGCTCTTCAGCATGGAGCTGGTTCTGGGTAGAAGAGAGTTGGCCCCGCCCATTGTGAAGGAATTAGGTATCTCTTCTTTGCTAAGGAGCAGAGGAACAGTGATTCTACAGGGGTTTTATCAGGTTTTCATCAGCTGACCTAAGGTGAGGAGTAAACAGGGCTAGAGTAAGGAACATTCCATTTGTTAGGAGTATAAAATGAACTCTGCCTCCTGATCCACAGTGATAAAACAGTGGGTGAACTGTTTTGATTTAACCAGGAAGTACCTCAAATGAGGGAAAGTTGATTACTTTTTTCCCGTTATGTCCAGATTTGGTGGCCATTCCTGACTTTGAAGCAGGAGCAATGGAAAATTGGGGTCTGCTCACCTTCCGAGAAGAGACACTTCTGTGTGACAATAATACTTCTTCAGCAGCAGACAGAAAACTGGTTACTAAAGTCATCGCTCATGAGCTGGCCCATCAGGTATTAGCAACCAAGGCCGTTTTATCTCATACCTGTGGTCTATTCCATATTCTAGAACAGTGATGGCGAACCTTTTGAGCTCGGCATGTCAGCATTTTGAAAAACCCTAACTTAACTCTGGTGCCGTGTCACATATAGAAATTTTTTGATATTTGCAACTATAGTAAAACAAAGACTTATATTTTTGATATTTATTTTATATATTTAAATGCCATTTAACAAAGAAAAATCAACCAAAAAAATGAGTTCGTGTGTCACCTCTGACACGCGTGTCATAGGTTCGCCATCACTGTTCTAGAGTGTTAGAATAAGTTTAGATGCTAATAATAATCTAGCTGTTTATTGTAGTATTGCTTTCATAAGAAAATGATGCTTTTGAACACAAACAATTTCAGATGAAAATGCCATCTAATATTTGTATAGGACTTTACAGTTTATAAAACATGGTCACATGTATGATCTCACTTTTCATAACTGCTGTAGGGCAGGTGAAAATCCCACTTACAGATGTGGAAATGGGACTTACCATAAGTAAATGACTTGCTCAGAGTCACACAGCTAATGAGTGGCAGCACTGGGTCCTAAAGTAGCACTATCTCATCAAGATCTCTCTTTCCCCCACAACACACAGCTGTTTGCCACTGACAAATGCCAGCTGCTCAGTATAGCTTTGTGGGGATACATCTTTTTCCTAAGTTGCACTCTCACAACACTTGAACTATAGTTGTCATCACTAGATTTATTTTTTCTCTCTTGCTAGAACTGGACTTTTTTTTAAATTAATTTGAAAGAGGAAGGACACTCTTTGTATGCCATGGAGAAAAAGCAAGAAAATTGTACGGGTACATGAACCTCCCTCTGTCTTCCCCAGCACCTGTCTCTCTTGTATCCTTGATGAGGTGCTCATCAGTGTTGGGTATGCTTTAGGGGTGTCATGTGGGAGGATGTGGAAGAAGAGTAGAACATGCTCTGGGCTGTTTACTCCCTGTTCAAACTCAACCTGAGCACGACTGTGTAGCCCTTCTGAAGACTTCAGTACAAGCAGGCATATGAAGCGTATACTCACTTACTATTATGGTGTTAGGCCTGTAGACAAGGGGTCTTTTAGGGGCTTTCCTATGGATCTGTTATTTCTGGGGCCTCCCACCATTACTTGGGGAGTATTTCTCTGTTAGTTTGTCTTTAGGACTTAGAAATCATCTTTGTCTGAAACAGGCTTTAGGATATCTTTGAAATACATATTCTGGTAATTCAAAAGTGTTTTGTTTCAGTATCTAGTAACCTTATTGTTTTACTGCTGGTTTGAGTCAAGCCTTAGGCCACACTGACTATTGCATGCCTATCACCACACTTTATTTCAGGCATTTTTTGAGACATTTTTAAAAAGAGTCTTCTTTCATTGTTTCCTTCTTACTTCCTCCTCATAGAAGAACGCATTTAAGATCTTTCTGATTTCATTTATTTACATGCATACCAACTTGCTTGAGGAATGTTGTTTGAATTCTGTTTTGAGTTGTGTAAATACTGTCCTCAACTTGGGTAACTGAGGAGAAATTTGAAGTATGGACTCTCTAACTATAGGAAATTGTCACACAGAAATTTACTTTTTAGTTGTCATGGGTGGTTGTAGCTACAACAGAAAAGAATCTTACTAGATATTAGAAAGTAGAAGAATTTCATTATCTAGGAAATCTCATTTTTAATGAGTTGTCTAAAAACTGTTATTTTACCTAATATGTAACATTTGTTAAATTGAAAAATATGCTAATTGCATATGTCTTGCTTGTTTTCTCATTCAATTAAGGTAAAATGTTAAAATTTTTATTTTACTTGTAAAGTAAATTTACACAGCTTTTATAAGTCTTTAATTTGAATATAGTTTATTTTAACTATAATGACTGTATTTTTATGTAATTATAATCTAGTTATAGGTGATAAACCTAACAATTCAATTATTAGAACATTCTTGAGAATGTAACTATTGTGTTGGTTAATAGTTTATTTTCCCCACAGTGGTTTGGTAATCTGGTAACAATGCAGTGGTGGAACGATCTATGGCTAAATGAAGGTTTGGCTACTTTCATGGAGTATTTCTCTTTGGAAAAAATATTCCAAAAGCTCTCCAGTGTAAGTACAGTGTTTTTTTTGTTTTTTGCCTACTATGAGTGCTAAGGGAGGAAAGACTCAAATCATACTCGCCATGTGTTTTCTATGCATTTGCAGAAATGAAACTATTTCTAGAAAGAAACAATAAAATTGGCCTCTGTTACTTAAATCTGTACCTCTTGAGATCTGACAATGGAAGTTATGCTTTTATTTACTGACATATTTCATTGAAAGCTAAAAGTATGTGAAATTATTTTACATTTTGTTATTAGGATAAATATTTTAAATTGATTTGCTACATTTTATTTTCAAAAGTAGTGATTCTTCTGCTTGAAGGAATTTAGATATAATTGAAAGGCCTTTTTTTCAAAACAAAACATTTTATCCTGTTCATAAAGAAAGAAAAAAATTAAGATATTTTGTAGCAATACTGTCTGTTATCACTCTGATCATACTTATAACAGTGATACAGAAAAATAATTTTCCCTTTTTAGATACAAACCATATTCTGTTCCTTTTCAAACACTTGGAACACTCTTTTGTTATAGAGAGCATAGTAATGCTGCCACTTTATTAGACTCTTTGGAGATGTTTGCCATCCTTAGAAATATTTTGACACACTAGGTTATGATATGACAGTTATTGCCAAATAATTCAAGCAATAGGTGGGAAAGTATAAAGATCCCTTTCAATCCTAAAATTCTGTAACTTTCTATTAAATTTCCTGGCTATATGACCCAAGACTTCTTTAAAACAGGAATATTCTTAGAGCTTTCAATGTGAAATTTTTGTGTAGGGCCTATTCAAAAATTTCAAATGGCACAGAATGAACTCATCTTTAGTTAGAAGACTAAACAAGATACTTTAAATCTGTGTATGCTCCTTAATTAAGCAGTGAGATTCACAGTTTCACCACTTGGTGGTGCCCAGAATGTTTAAAGCTTCTAATATATATTCTAAGGGAGCTCATCTCCTGAGCTTTCAAAGAATTCTTTCTGTTTAAGAGTTATATTTTATTTCAAATGAAGCCCAGTTAAAGGAAATGTATATTATCTTAACAGAAAAGTTGGACTGTATATCATAAATTGGCTTAAGGATGACTTTTTATTTTAAATTTTTATTTTTTAATTTCAGATTTTTATTTTTGTTTTTTAATTTTAGATTTTATTTTTAAAATATACACTAAACTTCTTATACTGTTCATCTTGAATAGCAGGATTTGGCATTTTTTTTGTTGATTTAGTAAAAGAATCTTAATTTATCCTTATACTGTTGTTGCATAGGAAACACTGTTTTCCATGTGGCCAGGAGGTTATAATTTTATCTTTAAATTTAAGGAATATGTGTGAATATTACACTTGCTATATTTTGCAAAAGCTTATGTTCTGAAGTTGAGTAAATCTGGTTATTTTTTTAATAATGTCCTTAAGCAGTAGTCTAATTTATATAAATAATTGCTATACATGCTTTTGCCTTTGATGCTGTTCATGATTTCCTAACCTGTCTCATTTTTTACTAGTATGAAGATTTCTTAGATGCTCGATTTAAAACCATGAAGAAAGATTCCTTGAATTCATCTCATCCAATATCATCATCTGTTCAGTCTTCAGAACAGATTGAAGAAATGTTTGATGCTCTCTCCTATTTTAAGGTATTACTATGCACATTAGTACCTGGAGTAGGTTTCAAATTAATTTCATATGTGAACAAGCTACATGGTTTAGATTGTTATAAAAACTAAATGAGTATTATTTTCAGGCATCCTGTTAAAATTTAAGATCTTTGCTTCTATTTAAATTTTGAACTTAACTTTTTCTGGGTTGTTCTTTTTTTTTTTCTCTGTCTCGTTTAAGTTCTCTGACTAGTATTCTGGGCATTTAACTAGATCTTATAGCAATATATCTTTTAAAGTTGGTTCATTCTTTAGATCTGTAGGTAGAATATGTCCAGGGAGGATTCTAAGCAAGCCTTTGGATGTGTGATTCAGGATTGAGGTATATTCCAAAGTCAGAATTTCCAAAACAAGTCAGCAAACAGATATTAAATAAATTGAAGTTCAGGAGATTCCAAGATGTCTACTGAGTAGGTGGAAGCTACTCTCACCTCCTCCGGCACCAGACCAGATTTACAGGTAAATTGTAGAGCTGTCAACCTGAATAACCAACTGAAGAACAGCTGAATAGGTGTATTATAACCAAGGATTTACAGAAGAAGCTGCATAAAGATTGGTAGAAGAGGAGATGCTGCAGCTGAGAAGCCGCAGGGATATCTTGGCTGCAAACATCCCCCTGAAGAGTGTGGGGTCTCAGTCCCATGCCGGGATCCCCAGCCCAGAGCATCAGAGCTGGGAAGAGAAGCCTGCATAGCATCTGGCAGTAAAAATCAGTGGGGACTGTCTTCCTGGAAGAGGAGGGCATCTTCTAGAAACCCTGGTGTTCTTTTAAAGGGCCAACACACAGGATCTTGCTTTCAGACACTCACCTGGGGCTCCAGTAGAGGGAAGATGACTCAGGGCTGAGGGAACCATAAAGAGAAGATCTGGGTGGCATGGCCCTGAGCAGAGATCTGGGAGGTCCAGCCACTGAGGTCCCTGTGCTAAGTCCCTATCCCACACCGCACTCTGGCGCCATCTTCCCAGGGTCCAGCACTCCTATTCCTGCAGCACCAGCCTGTGGAGTGCACTAACCCAGACTTCCAACTACCAGCGACACCTCCCTACCAAGCTTGTGTCCTGAGGAGGGGTCTGTGGGCAGCATACAACAGGGAACTTTGATGTGCTCTTTTTCTGGAGAAGCAGTTGCCAGTCATTGAGCCATGTGGCTTTGGAACAGGGCTTAGTCTTGCCCCCCTCCCGCAGCCTCAGCTGCCACCACCCTCAACAGGAGACTCTTTTGATCTGTCCTCCTGGGTCCTGGTGGCCCTGCCTGACTGAGCTCAGTTCCACAGACAGACGGGGAAGGGAGTGCTGCTCAGAGCTGGGACCTTTGGAGCCTGTCTCCCACCAAAGCTCTTGTCTGGGACTCTGTGGGGCGCAGGGTCGTGTGCCTGCAGAGTGGGAGGAAGGAGACGTGTTTGCCCACCTCCTGCAGGAGTGGTGGGCACCAGCCCCGACAGGAGACTCATTTGATCTGTCTTCCCAAGTCCATGTCATCAAGAAACTCAAAGTTTAGGTGGTGGGTACTTGTGAAGCAATAAGAGATAATATGTGCTAAAGGAATGGTAGAGTATTTTTGCCTGGGATTATGAAGATAGATTTTTTGGAGGAAAATGGAATTTATTGTAAAGGTCAATCCCATAGAATTTGCTAATGGATTACATGTGGAATATAAGTGAGGCATCAAGGATGACTTCAAGATTTTGCCTAAACAACTGGAGAAATGGAATTATTATTTGCTGCATTGGGGGAAACTATTGGAGGAGTAGATTTGGGAAAAGAAGAAAATTAAAAGTTCAGTTTTTGAGATATGAAGCAGGCATTTGGGTGTGAGTCTAGAATTCAGAGGGAAAGTCTGGTTAGAGATCAACTATAAATTTGAGAGCAACTGGAAGAAAATTTGGAGAGAGAGAAGAAAAGAGATCTGAAGATTAAATGCCAGGGAACATCCAAATTTAGTCCTTGGGAAAGTGAGGAGGAACCAGCAAAAGAGACTGAGGTTTAGCCAGTGAATAGGGGGGAAATCTAGAGTGGTGTTCCAAGGCCAAGTACAGAAGGCCTTCAGGAGGAGTGGTTGATAGCAAAAGCCACTTATTAGTGCTTGATAAGTTGAGCCACGGAATTGACATTGGTTTGACACTATGAAGTTCACCTTGAAGAAACCTTGATAAAATATTTCCAGTGGAGTGATGATTGGAAGATGGCTCAAGAGAAAATGGGAAGAGAGCAAATGGAGATGGCAAATGCAGGCATCTATTTCGAGGAGTTTACTAAAAAGCGAGAACAAGAGGTAACTAGAGGAGACCTGAGGTTAAGGAAAGGAAGGACATCTTTTATTTGTTTAAAATGAGGAATGTTACAGAGTCTGTGGGTTTAATGGAAAAGTTACAGTAGAGAGGGAAAGTAGGTGATATAGGAGAGAAGGGGAGATGTTGGAAAAGAGTGAGTACTTAAATTTATAGAACAAGTAACACCAGAGAGAGCAATAGATATTAAATTCAGTTAATGTGTGTATGGTAATCTTAATGACTTGACATTGCTACATTTTTATCAGAAGTGAAACTCATTCAAAAACCATTTGAATGCTTACGGTGTACTAGGCTTGTTTTAGTCATTGGAGTTGAATTTTTCAGTTTTCCCCTCAACAAGCACACATTCTACAAGAAGAAATAACTATATCTATAGCAGATGCAGGAAATGATATAAATTGCTTTTGAAGATAGAAAAATATGATTTTTATCTCAAATTGGAGGCTTCACAGACGAGGTGGTTGTTATTTTAAGAGTGGGAGTGATGACGTGTGCATCAGTGACTATAATGTGACCTTAATAGGTGCATGCCTGATTTTGGATTATTAGTGTATACTTACTACCCTATACATTCATCAGTTCCAAACATATTGGAAGTGACTCTTCAGGAAGAAGAGAGATCTTGGTTACTTTAGCGACATGATATACTAACATTGGAAATTAATGTAGTCCCAGCAGAGAGACTTTTGAGAGCTCTTTAATTTATTGTCCCCAGCAGAGTGCCCATGAATTGAACTGGTACCTTAAACATTGGGTATAAAAGTGGGGATGCCACAGAATATTTGGCATGTTTTTCTGTTAAAAATATATTTATAATTGCTTAGTTTTTTAACATTAACACTGAAACAGTGAGTAACTGACAGACCACACAAAATGGCTCATAGTAGAATTAATGCACATGGGAATCTACTCCATTAATTCTTTTCAAATCCTTTAAAATAATTTTAAGACAATTTGAACATAGTCCACATGTGGTTATATGAGACCAAGTAGCTGTGTATCATAACTAGGCTTTATATATGGAAGTATATGCTTAAATTGACTATATTTTGAATTTTAGATTCTCAATTCTATATATTGTATTCTATTATTTTCCTCCCTTTCTACTTTTTTTCTTCTTTCTTTTTGAATAGGGAGCTTCTCTCTTGTTGATGCTGAAAACATATCTTGGTGAAGATGTATTTCAACGTGCTCTTGTTCTTTACCTGCAAAAGCATAGCTATGCGTCCATTCAAAGTGATGATCTATGGGATAGTTTTAATGAGGTAAGTGGCTGACCTGGTGTTTTCTTGGGCGCTTGAAGCAAGAAGAGAGGAGTTCTATTTATATTTTTATCAAGTATATAAGTAAGTTGTGGTAACAAAGATAGTTATTTGAGAAAGAGGGAGATAGAGCTTAAGATATAAACATTCATAGAACACAGAATTGGAAAGAAATGGAAGTACTAGTCTAAATTACTGAAAAAGTGTGTGTGGCCTTGTGCGACCATTTTTGTTCTACATCTTAATCTCCATTCCTACTTTGTAGGAAAATTGTCTTTTCCAAATTAATGTATATTACTATGTTTTCTTCAAAAATCTTTTTTCATTATGTTTTTGCAGTTTTTCAGTCTCCTTCAATGCTAGTCTTGTGGCCTGAAAGAGCGCTTATACCACCTTAGGGATTTTAATGAACACTTGGTTGATAATATCTACTGCTTTTTCAGCATTGTGCCTCTCTCATGCTCTTTAATTATCACTTAGTTCTGTCCCAGGTCACTTGCCTTTTAGCAATTGCTCATTTACCTATATTAGAAATGTAAATTTAGCTCAGCATTTGTGCTGCTTTATATTAACTCTAAATGCAGTCTTCATAGAATGTGGTACAGAAAGAGGAAAAGATACAAACTGTTAAGTTTTTAAACTGTTTATTTTTAAGCAAAAATAATTTATTCTTTTACTTATAGGTCACAAACAAAACAGTAGATGTCAAGAAAATGATGAAAACCTGGACCCTGCAGAAAGGATTTCCTTTAGTGACTGTGCAAAGAAAGGGAAAGGAGCTTCTTGTACAACAAGAAAGATTCTTTTTAAATATGAAGCCTGAAATCCAGCCTTCAGATGCAAGGTACACGCCCACTTTCTCTGCCTACCATCTCTTTGGACCCTCAGGTTAAAGTATTTTTAAATGTTTTGTAATCATAGGTTCGTATATATTTTTGTAATACTCACCTGACGATATATTTTCCATTACTTTTTAGAGAGAGTGGAAGGGAAGCGGAGGGAGGGAGGGAGGAAGGGAGGAAGGGAGGGAGAGAGAGAGAGGAGAGAGAGAGAGAGAGAGAGAGAGAGATGTGAGAGAGACATATCGATTGGTTGCCTCCCATGGGAGCCTCAATCAGGTCCAGGGATTGAACCTGCAACCCAGGTATGTGCCCTTAACTGGGAATCAAATCAGAGACCCTTTGGTGTGCAGGCTGACACTCTAACCACTTAGCAACACTGGCCAGGGCCATAGGTTCTTATAAAACATTAACAAGATTACCCCTTTCTGGAAATATCTTGAAAATTTTCATCTTCCTGCCCCCAAAAAACAATAAAGCAAAAATGGACAAATTATGTGTAACTGACTAAAATATTGGAAAGTGTAATAATCTTTCAATATTTTCTTTTTATAGCTATCTGTGGCATATTCCACTATCCTTTGTCACTGAGGGAAGAAATTATTCAAAACATCAATTGGTATCATTTCTGGACAAGAAATCAGGTTTGACTTAACACTTTCTATATAAGAAATTGGAAGCAGCATATTTTTAAAATATCTGACTAAGCAGCAGAAAGGAGTTTACACTTTCCAGTGTACACACTCTCGAAGCTGGTTTTGTGAGTCATCTATACATGATGTGACTAAAATGAGATTGGGTCTATGTATCTACCGTGTATAAAATTGGTTTGTCTTATTCATGTAACATAAGGTATAAAAAGTTGCACAGAAAGTGCTAACATTCCTGGTAGAAAATAACAAATGCTATATCTTTATAGCCTAGGTCAGTGGTCGGCAAACTGCGGCTCGCGAGCCACATGTGGCTCTTTGGCCCCTTGAGTGTGGCTCTTCCACAAAATACCGACTTCTGCGCATGGGCCACGAAGTTTCAATCGCACTGTACGTGCGCACCCGCACATGGTATTTTGTGGAAGAGCCACACTCAAGGGGCCAAAGAGCCGCATGTGGCTCGCCAGCTGCAGTTTGCCGACCACTGACCTAGGTAGATACTTTATGTCACAAAGTAAGAAATAGAGCAGTTTTTTTAAAGGATGCTCTGCTGTCTGCTATCTAGGGACAAGCACCCTAGATGATGCTTATGCATATTAAAGGTTGATTGATGACCTAGATTTATAGTAAATAATTATTACAGAATGTCCTATAGACATAGTATACATTTTTTGGTAATGAAAAACATGGGGCAAAGCATTATGCTTGCAAGGAAGGGGTAATAAAATGTAAAGATTATATATGCTGACCCACAACGAGTCTATAAAAAGCAATTGAAATGTAGTTTCTGACCATCTGTTAACTACCTCTATGTATCCTGCCACATCATGTATCCTCTTAATTTACACCATGAAAGAATATATGGCTTCTGAGTTCTTCAGGAATCATTAGTGATACTCTAGATTTATGTAAAGGGAAAATTTCTTGTTTGAATTTGGATCTGGTGTTCAATCCCGTGTTTTTTAGAGTGCAGTGTAGCTTAGTGGTTAAGAGAACAGACTTTGGAGCCAGATTGCCTGGCTCAGTTGTATGATTTTAGGTAAATTATATGACCTCTCTGAACCTCATTCCCTCAGCTCTGGAATGGAGCTAGTAGTTATACTTACTATATAGTGTTATGATGAGGATTAATTGAGTTCAATTATATGAAACACCCAGAACAACAGCTGGCATATGTTTTGTGCTATATAAGGGTTGGCTATTATTATTGATGTTATTACTGAAAAAAAAAATACTTTAAACATAATATATCCACATTACAGAAAATCTAGAAAAAGAACAAATCTTCTCACCCTATCATTACTACTCTCATGTTATTTCTTTTTAGTCATTTAAAAGTATATTTTACTTAGTTGATGTCATTGTGTACATGTGATTTTTGCATCTTTTTTAAAGCTTAATATATATAGTAATTGACTTAATCTTTCTTTACTATTGGACACTTGATTCACCATTTTTTTGTTTGTTAATCCTCACCTGAGACTATTTTTTTATTGCTTTTAGATAGAGTGGAAGGGAGGGGGGGAGGGGAGAGAAAGAGAAAGAAGAATATCGATGTGAGAGAGACACATCAATTGGTTGTCTCTCACATGTACCCTCACTGTGGCCAGGGAACAAACCCGCAAGCCAGGTATATGTCCTTGACTGGAATCGAATCTGGAGCTTTCTGTGAACAGGCTGACGCTCTAAGTCTAACCACTTAGAAATACCGGCCAGGAAAAAAATGAAATGAAAACAAATCTGCATACTTTAAGTGAGCCCTGCAAGAATAGTCTCTAACCTAAGAGAGAAGAAATAATCTCATTTCCCTGTTTGAAAGGGACCAATAAAGATATTTTGCAAGCGTCCTGGTAATCTGTAAGTTTTTGGTGGTATTAGAAGTAATTGGACAATAAGATAACTGATTTATTAACCCTTTACTTTTTAGCTCAGTTTACATGTGAGCCTTTTAAACTCTTTGAGATTCACATCCCCAAGTCTAGCTCATATTTTTCTTTATAGCCTTTTCTTTCTCAGCCCTTACCTGACATTCTGTGTTTCCGCCGCACAAAAATAGTTTGAGCAACTCAAACAGGCCATTCTTCCTCTTGTCTCTGGGTGGCCTTTGTTTATGCTGTTTTGTCGCCTGGAAGAAAACTCTTGCCTCCCCACTCCCTTGATTTACTCCTATTCATTCTTCAGATCTAGGTTCACACCCATTGCTTGCTCCTTTAATAACATTCTCTACTTCTCTACTTTTGTATACTTTAAGTACTGTTTCACTTATACTAGTATCTGTCCCCACATTAGATATGTCGCCTATTGAAGGTAGATATCATGACTATATGAATCAGTTTTGCAACCTTAACACCCAGTAGGCACATAAACATTTATTGAATGAATAAATCTTGTCTATAGTGAAGTGACTCAATTTCAAATCTCACTGTAAAAAGTTCTAGGAAAAGAGCATTCAAAGCCTAATGAAATTATATCTTCTGTTTCCTTTCATTTCAAAATATTGTTGGTACAGGAAAATATACAAAATGCACTATAATATAATTGGTTTAATCTAGAGCTGTAACTGAGCCAATACATGATGAAAGTGGTGTCTGTTGGTTCCTCTTCTCAACTGTGTGATTTCCTGTACTGCTGCTGCTGCTGCTGCTTTCATCCCTGGCATTTTGGATTTTGAGGGTCCACATTGAAAATGTTCTATCCTCACAAAAAAATGTTGGACCCTAAGGGACAGTTGGCTCTTCTTGGTTCCTGATACTTCAGTGAGAATCACTGTTATTTTAATTTTTTTAACTTTTTCTGTTCTCAAAAGAAATGTAGCCGAGGCGGTGGCTACAAAGGCTTATTTTATGTCATATGACTTTAGTACAGGGTGTTATCTTGGTAGTCTGTTAAATCTATATTATAGTCCCATGTGTTCCAGGGGTAGTCCATTAGTTCAGTCAAATATAAGAGTTATACTGTATTTGGTTAATATTTTTGTCACTTCCCTGCATACATGAATTTTGAACAATTAATAGTTGTGCAGAAGAAGGCCTGAAAAGGCCCGGCTGGAGTGTCTCAGTTGGTTAAGCATCGTCTTGTGCACCGAAAGCTGCTGGTTTGATTCCTGTTCAGGACACATATCTGGGTTGTAGGTTCAAGATCCTGTATAGAAGGCAACTGATCTATATTTCTCTCTCACATTGATGTTTTTCTCTCTCTCTCTAATCATGTCCTCGGGTGAGGATTAAAAATAAAAAGGTCTGAAAGGGGCCTTTTTTTTTTCTTTAAGCTACATATTGAGAAAATTATACTAAAAATGTGTCTCCCTCTCCCTTTTCTTCCCCCCCCCCCCACTTCTATCTCTGTCTCAGTCTCGATCCACATCTTACTCAGACCTCTAAGCTCTTTAACTATAGGAAGTTTTTATACGAAATCTAACTTGAAACATTCATGTTTCTAAAAGGATATCACTGTGCCAGAAATATTTCCCCAAAATTAAAAGACATGTCATTGTAGTGAGAGGCAACTGGAAAAAAGAAGGAAAATCATAGAATTAAGATATTTATCATGTGCCTTTCTCTACTCTCGCCCCCCCCCCCAACCCCCGCTAATAAAATAAAGGAGAAGAAAGGAGCTTTGCAGAAAGGAATGCTTTTGAACAAGAGGGGATGCAGTTCAGCCTGTATGTCGTATGTCTCGTGCTAGTCCTCTGGAGCAAACTACACAGGAAATTTTGTGACTTTCTAGTAAAAACATGATTTTTGTTTTTGTGCTGTAATGTTTCTTTATAAAACAGTAGTTGATTTTCATAACTCATGGACACATGGCTTTTTAAAATCAATATTAGATTACTTCATCTGGGCTTCTGCCATTTAACATTGGAATTGCTCATTCTTTTTTACTACTCAATGGATTGTGAAAATTGAACTGTTAATCTGTTAATGATTATAATAAATTAAAAACATATGAGGGTAGCCGCATCCACATTTGAGCTACAGGACGTAGTTACCTCCCTTGTGAGCAAAGCTATTATTTTTTGATACCCGTGGTTTTAAGGATCTCTATTCTGGATCATTCAGAAGACCTGAAAAAGACGAACATGTTGACTCTTTATATGATAGCTCTCCTCTCTGTGCTGTTGGCTGTACTGCTTTATATTCTGTCATCGAGATGACAGTAATAATTTCAAGTACACTCCCAGCTGCATTTCTCCTTTCTACCATTTGGACTTGGCTAGGTTTACAACACTCAAGTTGCTTGCTTATCGGCCAGATTCTCAATATTTTCTCGCATCCATCCAGTGGGAAAAATGCCATACTTGTCATTACTTGCCTCCTTTTAAGAGAAAGGGAGAGTTGGAGCTCTTCATTCCTCCCCAAGGTCCTTTCTTGATAAAAGATCTGTAGAAAATTGTGTTTGGTGACCTGGTGAGTGTTGATATTTTTGCATTAGCTAATGATAAAGTTAATTTCTTTAGTCATAGTTTTGTTAAAAATGTCTTCTACTTGGAGCAGCTACTGTTGCCATCACAGTTATTCCTTAGAACTTCATTCTGCTCTAGAAAAAGGAATAGACTATATTAATATAATTGATTTTTCTGCTATATTAGCAATAAAACAGAAATTAGTATGGAATTTTTAAATGAAAAATACATTGTCTGAGATATGTCATGTTAAGACAAAATCAGAATGTAAGTCTTTTCCATCTTAAACATCTTTTGTAGTTTCAGTAGAATAAATAAAATATTAAGAGAATCTGATCTGATAAATTTTAATAATTCATGCTTTTGAAGTTGATAGACCCTAAGATGTCATACACTAAAGGATTTAAGTGTGTTTCTAAAATATATGTGCAAAAACCTTCACACAGCATTATTATGATAGTGAAAATTTTAAAACAGCCTAATGTTTCCAAATAGGAAACTCCTAAACCTATGGTAGGTCTTGAAATAGACTTATTATGAAGATATTTGAATACTGCATAGGAAGACAATGGAAAAATGGCAGGGGGTGGAATCTGATAGATGAAAATGAAGTATAAAAATGAATGCATATATATAGATCCATAGTATGGAATATTACATTAATTAAATTGTGTATAGGAAAAATCTTGGCAGGAAATATACCCCAAAGTGCTATTATTATCTGAGTTTAGATTATTTTTCTTATCTCTCTACTCCTCTTTCTCTTATAATTTTTTTTTATTTCATTGAGGGTTTTTTATTGTCTCAAGTTTTACATATTTCTCCTTTTCCCCCAATTGACCCCCCCCCAGCCATCCCCACCCTGAGCAAGCCCCCACTGCCCCAGTGTCTGTGTCCATTGGTTATGCTAATATGCATGCATACAAGTCCTTTAGTTGCTCTCTAACCCCCCTTCCCCTACCATTTGTCTGTAGATCGGTCTATTCTTGTTCATCAAATTATGTTGATCATTATATTACACATATGAGTGAGATCATGTGATATTTATCTTTCTCCAACTGGCTTATTTCGCTTAGCATAATGCTCTTCAGTTCCATCCATGTTGTTGCAAATGGTAAAAGTTCCTTTTTTACAGCGGCATAGTATTCCATTGTGTAGATGTACCACAGTTTTTTAATCTACTCATCTGCTGACGGGCACTTAAGCTGTTTCCAAATCTTAGTAAATTGTGCTGCTATGAACATAGGGGTGCATATATCCTTTCTGGTTGGTGTTTCTGCTTTCTTGGGATATATTCCTAGAAGTGGAATTACTGGGTCAAATGGGAGTTCCATTTTTAACTTTTTGAGTAAACTCCATACTGTCTTCCACAGTGGCTGCACCAGTTCTCTTATAATTTTTTAAAAATATATTTTTATTTCAGAGAGGTAGAGAGAGGGAGGGAGATAGAAACATCAATGATGAGAGAGAATTATTGATTGGCTGCCTCCTGTACACACCCTTCCCCTGCCAGACCCCACCCATGCATGAATTGGTGCACTGGGCCTCTAGTATTCTAATAAATAGTAAACCTTAAGGCACTTAGGAGTATACCTTCAACTGTTATATTAAAATCATGTCCTTGTTGCAACTTCAAAGGACATTTCTTGATTAGTATTTTTAAGGACTTTAAAATTTATTACATATATTTTGTAGTTAGCTTTTGTAGTAATACATTTTTGTAGTCATATAGTTTGTTCCTCCCTATTAATTATAAATTAATTGAAATCATTCCATATAAATTTCTAACAATTCTGTCAGCATTTATATATGTAATGGTTTGGACCAAAAAAATGCAAATCACTTTTCTATTATTTTCACTCAGTTATTTTTTATTTGTGCGTGTTGAGACATTAATCCTTCCCTAAAGTTTATTTTGCTAGATTTGAATTATGTGACTTTTTAAAATGGCTTTATTTGTTCTTCCTTTGCTAACATAAAGACAAAGGCTGCAATGGAACACATTTTATGTAGTTCTCTCTTGATCTTCCCCTGCTGCCCCACCCCACACACATTTTCCCTTTCTCCCTGCTTCTCTCCTTTAGCCACAATGAACTTGGGAGCCAGTTCAGTGCATGGACACCATGTATACTTTCTCTTTGGGTCTTGAACACTCTTTACCTAGCTAACATCTATATATCTTGAAGTCTCAACTTAACAGTCATTTCTTCCAGGAAATCTCCTAACTTCCCTAGGGAATGAAGCATTTCTTCTATGTACTTCCATAGAATATCATATTTTCTTTTTCCATCAATAACATTTATATGAATTCTACCTACCTGGTTACAGTAAACTGTAAGATCTATGCGAGAAGAGACAGAAGTACCTTGTTCACCATTAAATAAATACCAGTAATTATTAAATGAGTGAGTGGTAATCTTTGTTAATGTGAAAATAACAGCATTAAAAGGCAGAGTTTTAGTTTCTTAGTAGGATAATTAAATATAAAAATATACCATATTAACTTTGAAACAAAGCATTTGTTTAATTTTTTTCTTACCCTATTACCCTTCTCTCTCTCTCTCTCTCTCTCTCTCTCTCTCTCTCTCTCTCATTTTTTTATCTGTATTAGATGTCATCAATCTTACAGAAGAAGTACAGTGGATCAAAGTCAATACAAACATGACTGGCTATTATATTGTACATTATGCAGATGATGATTGGGATGCACTAATCAAACAGTTGAAAATAAATCCTTATGTCCTGAGTGACAAAGACCGAGCCAACCTCATCAACAACATCTTTGAACTTGCAGGGTAGAGTATTTTTGGTTTTATTTTGTTTGTTTGTTTTTTAAACAAGTGATATTGAGAAAAAAGAACATTTTAGAAAAAAAGTTCAAAAGAACTAGCCTGTATCATGTATTGCCTGTTAGGTATACGTCATTTTGGAGGAACTGGAAAATGTCAGGCATAGTCCTTGCCTTGAGGGACTTTATAATCTATAGTGAAAAATTAGCTACAAATATTGAACAGTTAAGTAACAAGATGTACATAACATTTCAAGAATATAGATGCCAACAAGCACGACCCATATTGCTGAATAAGTTGATGTAGTTCAGGCTTTGTTTTACTTATTGATAGAATTCTTTTCAAGCAGCACTTGGTTTGTGTGATGCTTAGTGCTTACTCACTAGTTTGAGGGGCAGTTCTTATATCTGGAGCCTCCTTATTTATGTACCACTTGCCTCCTCCATCACCTCGTGTGCTACTGGAATCCCAAAGCCAAGAATGGCAGAGACCTTGTGTATAGAGAACCTTCAGAAGAGGAATATTACCAATTTAGGTTTTTAATGGATCTAGAAACACAAGGAATATTCAAAAGTGTTCCTTCTGACTGCTCTTGACCTTCCTATTTTGGTTCTTTTTTTTTTTTTAATGAAATGACATTATATTATCTCAGCCATCATTGTTATGATTTCTATAAAATGGTTGATTTTAAGGATGTACTCAGCATAAATTAATAGTGGACCTCACTTTAACAAGTTTGACAAATAAATTCCCATATAAATAATTTTCTTTCTTTTTTAAATTCTCCTTATGCCACCTGTGCTCACCTGGTAAATATAAGAAATTTAAAAAGCAAATAAAATTAGTACTTTGAATCATTTCTCATCTAAGATGTCGTAATTCCTGAGTTAGCAATTTACAGGTGACATGGAATAAAAATGGAGCAATTATTTATCATTTTTTTCTGAAATGTGTCTTTAACCTTGGGTCACACACATGAACTTAATCAAAGGTAATCATATTTAGTCTAATTTTACAGAATGACACTCTAAGCTTAAATTTTAGGTCTTCAAGACACTATCTGACCATAAAACTTCTCAGCATGCATACAATTCATCTGCCTTTCTCAGCATGTTTACTTTTTCTGTTCTTTTACCCTTTAGGCTAGGCAAAGTGCCTCTTCGGAAGGCCTTTGATTTGATTGGTTATCTTGGAAATGAGACCCATACTGCACCCATCACTGAAACCCTGTTTCAGACAGGCCTCATCTATAACCTCCTTGAAAAACTAGGTTATATGGATCTGGCCTCAAGACTGGTGGTGAGTCTGCCTTTTTTGCCAGCTTCTCTTTGTTAATTGCTTTTAATGTGGTTATTCAGTAATAGGCTTAAAAAGGAATGAAATTCCATTTTCTTCACTTTCCAAGAAATCTTTATTTTTAATCAAAATATCATTGCTTACCATGAAGAGTTGATAAAGGCTTAGCATGATGTGGTCTTGTTTGAATATCAACATATAGATTTCTCATACTGCTGTCACATGAAAAGAAACTTTTTCTTTTCAAATTTTTATATAGTAAATGCTTTAAATGGACCCTTTTGAAAAGCAGTGCTCCCATTAATATCCTAGTAGTCAATATTAAATGACAGTCATGTTTGTATTGGGATTATTGTTTAGGAGCCCTTCTGATACCTGTCTTATGGATGAGGATGCTGGTATTTCTCTGCAAAGCAGTAAGGGAGTCTTGGTATTGGAATCTGTTTTACCTTTTTAAAAAAAACAGTTGCCTGATCTTAACAGTCGTTATTTTAGACACTTTCAGTGTTAAACTGTTGGCTGAGTCTTTAAAAGCTTGGAAGGGAGTGATGCATCCTTTGTTTTATCCACTTCTCTAAATCAGCACATTCTGACCACAGGGTTTGCTTTGTAAACTAGTCAGGTTTTCCAGGGACCAAGTAAAAGGCAGCTTTCAGGAAAAGGAAGAAAGTATTGGACCAGGAATTAGATTAAGTCTTTTAGGGTTTGGGTGTCTTCACTGGTAAAAGGAAGGGGTTGGATTAAATCTTTTTTTTTTTAAACAATCTCCTTTCTGCCACTTTTACTGATCTACTGTGTACCCCTTATGATGAGTTCTTATCACAGGCATGATTCTCAGTGGGGGAAGGGAATGTAGGGCAGGTGGGCCATATGGAGCTTGAAAAACACCGTCCCTCACAAGTTTCTGATCTGACTCCAAAGGAACCAGCCCCAGCCCTACCCATAAGTGAGATTCTTAAGTTAGATGATTTCTGAGGTTTCTTCTAATTGATAGATTTTTATCATTCTCCTATTTCATAAGGCTTTAACTGCCAGCCTTAATAAAAACCAGCTCCTGGAATGTGCCCCAGCCCATAGTGGCATTCAGTAAATGTGGAATGAATAAATGAGCGAGACACTCCAGAAACAAGTACATGTCAGTGTTTATTATATTCTGTACACCATGCTTAGTGCTTAGTGTTGATTACCTTGTTTGATCCTCATACAATGCCAAATGGATATTTCTACCTTCATGAGATAAATGAGGAGACTAAATAACTTCCCCAAAGTCACTTACCTAGTCAATTATAAAGCTGAGATTCTAACCCACATTGGTTTTACTTCAAAACCTCTTCTTTGCCTTACGTTGGTATATTTTAAACTAATTTGTATTCTAACAATGTCATCTTTCCAATGATACCTTTTGGTTGGGAAATATCAAAGCTTTTTCTTTTTTGCTATCATTCTCTTTTAAACTCAGATTTTAAATTAAAACAGATTGAAAAGCTTGGAGACCATGTGCTTAAGGTTTAAAATTATAGACCCACATCTAGTTACTTCCTTGAAAATGAAATTGTCAACTTACTATATGAGATTTCTTTTATACCTAAAATGTTAGTAACAGTATTTTTTATAGTACTGATGTGCATTTACAAGAAGTATACAGCTAACTTATTGGTCTCTTTGGGGCAAAGTTATAATCTGACACAGACTTTCTACTATTAGTTTATTAAAGAAATTGGCCATTTGTTAGCCAGTTCAGCTACTGTAGATGGACATTTGGGTTGTTTGGAGTTTGGAGCTATTATAAAAAGTGTTGCTATGAATATTCTTTTTTTTTTAAATATATTTTATTGATTTTTTACAGAGAGGAAGGGAGAGGGACAGAGAGTTAGAAACATCGATGAGAGAGAAACATCGACCAGCTGCCTCCTGCACACTCCCCACTGGGGATGTGCCCGCAACCAAGGCACATGCCCTTGACCGGAATCGAACCCGGGACCCTGGAGTCCGCAGGCCGATGCTCTATCCACTGAGCCAAACCGGTTACGGCAACTATGAATATTCTTATACATGTCTTTGATGAGTTTCTATGGGGTATGTGTCTGGAAAATGGAATTGCTGAATCAAAACATATGCATGGTTAATGCTGTACTACCAAATCATTTTTCAGAGTTACACCAATTTAACACTCCATCAGCAGTGTATGAGAATTCAAGGTCTATTCTGGATCTATTATTTGTCAACACTTATATTAATAGTAACCTTTTTCTTTTAGCCATTTGGATGGGTGCACCATAGTATTGTAATTTTGGCTTTAATTTATATTTCCCTAAGTCAGCGGTTCTCAACCTGTGGGTCGCGACCCCTTTGGGGGTCGAACGGCCCTTTCACAGGGGTCGCCTAAGACCATCGGAAAACACATATATAATTACATATTGTTTTTGTGATTAATCACAATGCTTTAATTATGTTCAATTTGTAACAATGAAATTGGGGGTCACCACAACATGAGGAACTGTATTAAAGGGTCGAGGCATTAGGAAGGTTGAGAACCAGTGCCCTAAGTGAAGATGAATTCCTTTTGATATGTTAATTGACCATTGGGTGTTCTCTCTCTTTTTTTATATTGAATTTTAGAGAGAGGAAGGGAAAGAGAGAGAAACATAGATGTGAGAGAGAAACATTGATCAATTGTCTCCCTCACCCACTCCGACCAGGGGTCGAACCTGCAACCTGGGTATGTGCCCTGACTGGGAACCAAGCCCATCACCTTCTGGTGTACGGAACGATGCTCCAACCAACTAAGCCACCCAGCCAGGGCTGGATATTCTCTCTTGTACCCAAGTCTTTCATTTGTTTTTCTATTGGATTGTCTGCCTTTTTCTTATTGATACGTAAGATTTCTTCTTCTTTTTTTAAGACTTCTTTATATATTCTACTTATGAGTCCTTTGTTTATCATGTATATTTGCAAATATCTTCTAAATAGCTTCTCCTACTCTGGCTTGCTTTTTCACTTTCTTAATGATTTTTTTAATTAACATAAATTCTTAATTTTAAGGTATGAAATCTGCCTAGTCCAATATATTTTCCTAAGTTTTCCTCTGAAAACTTTTTTTTACCTTTTATATTTAGATTCATGATCCATTTGGAATTGATTTTTGTATATGGTGTGAGGTAAACATAAATATTACTTTCTTTTCAATATGGATATCTAAATGATCCAGCATCAGTGTACTTCATTGTATACATTTTTTATTATAGAATTTCTATAACTACTTTGGGGTTATTAGTGCCATATCAAATCAACACTATTTGGGGTAATATATTAGTTTCCTAGGGCCATCGTAATAAATTATTACAAACTGGGTGTCTTAAAACAACAGAATTTTATTTTCTCACAGTTCTGGAAGCCTTAAATCAGAGTGTTATTAGGGTAAGTTTGGTTTCTTCTGAGGGAGAATCTATTCCATGTGTCTCTCTCAGCTTCAGGGGCTTGCTAGCAATCCTTGGCATTCCTTAGGTTGTAATTGCCTTACTACAATGTCTGCCTCTGTCTTCACATGGCATGCTTCCTGTGTTTCTTTGTCTGAATTTCCTCTTGCAAGGGCACCCATCATTAGGTTTGGGCCCACTATAATCCAGTATGACCTCCTCTTAATTTATTTACATCTGCAAAAATCCTGGTCCCAAATAAGGCCACAGACACAGGTTCCAGTCAGACATGACTTTTGGGGGCGTACTGTTCAACCCAGTATAGGTAGCCGTATTAGTATATGTTACTCACTTCTTTTCGGTATTAAAGAACAGTGTTGTACTGAATGTACTCTAAGAGAAGGCGGAATATTTATCTACTCTGAAGCTGCCCAGAAGCTACTCTTCCTCTGCCTCTCTCCTTAACTCTGTTGAGGCCCAGTGTCAGGAAGCACTTGATAACTTACCTCAAGCTAGCCCTGTGCTGAGACTATAGATGCGAAACACAATTCAAGGAGTTAAGCCTTTTGAATATTTTCCTAATCAAGTAACTCCGCATCTTCATTCCTGATGATGACTTCCAGTGTGCTGGGCAGGTATGTGTTTATTAAGAACATACTTCAGAGTGGGGTCCAGAAGGCGAGGACGGGAGGCTGAGTATGTGTTTGGAAGACCACAGGCCCTTTTACTGCTGGAGATTGCATATGCTTGATGGTTAGTTAAAAGGTTAGTTTCAGTTCATCCAGAGGGAGAAACTGTCTCTTTAAAATTCTTATTCAAATTTTAGGACATTCTTGTAGCATCAAAACTCTCAAAATATGAAGTCTGACCCACTGTAGTCGGAGATTGGAATGGCAGACATTTTTGAGTCTTTGCATCCAATCTTCAGTAGTATTTATGATTAGGACTGGTGTCTAATTTTTATGTCATTGTCGCCAGAGCAGAATGTACATTTATTGGTCATTTTGTTGTATAGGCTGCACATAACTACGTAGCACATACCCATATATCACATTTTGTGATGTATGCTGTGGTGTTGTGGTGGGTAGGGGCTGGAGGCACACTTGAATTGTGTTAGATTGTTCACATATGATGTTAACATCTGATCCTAGCTGTATTCCTGTCTCATCACTTCTAAGTCTGTCATTCTTGTATGTATGAGGGATTGGTGGGATAACCTTTTGCAATAGAGGCTGACACTTCACTTTTAAGAAGCTCAGTTGACCCACGAAAGAACTCCCTGGGCATATCAGTGTAAAATTAAAGTAGTAAATCAAAATGTAATACATAGCATAAGTGCCAGCATCTATCCCTGTTTTATTTTTTAAATCATTTTCTGTTGTTGTTGTATTTTATTACATATCCAATGTTTGTAATTTGTATAACCCTACTTAAGTGTCAGAGGAGAAAAATATTCAAAAGGTTTAACTCCTTAAATTGTGCGTAGCATCTACATTCCCTCTCCCCATTTGCCATTTTCATTTTATGGAATCAGAGGATGGGATTCTAATGTTTAATGAGTTTAAATTTCAAAAATTAATTTAGAACCATGGAAAAAATAGTTTTAATTTTATTTGTAGAAGGCAAAGGTAATTCAAAGCACTTGTTATGGTTTGTTAATACTAAAAATATAACCTGAAATTTTCTAAAAAAGAATTAATTCTTTTTTAAAAAGGAAATGTTTTACTTTTACTCTATTATGTTATCATTTGAAATATATTTCAAATCAACTATTTGGTAATTCCTCTTGGTGAACAGGGAATAACTAGTAAAATTTCGCCATGTAATTCCGATGGAGTAACTGCTCAGGAATTAGCCTATTCAAGGTTCATGCTCCTCTTGCCTCGAGTCCTTCCCAACGACATTTTTTTGTACTGGCTTCTTTATGTTTTAGTTAATTCTCAAGGAGCATTGGCATTTTTCTCTGCTGAACTTTTTTTTTAATGTTTTTTATTTCAGAGAGAGGAAGAGAGAGGGGGAGAGAGATAGAAACATCAATGATGAGAGAGAATCATTGAAGGGCTGCCTACTGCACGTGCCCTACTGGGGATTGAGCCTGTGACCCGAGCATGTGCCCTGATAGGGAATCGAACCATGACCTCCTGGTTCATGGGTCGATGCTCAACCACTGAGCCACACCAGCCAGGCTCCACTGAACTCTTTAAAATAGTATTTCAAGCATGTGACTTTTTTTCTTTCTCATCCCTTCTTTGTTTTTATTTGACAGTTATGAGTAACTTTTAAGTTTCTTTTTTGCTTCAGTCACTTGGGATGGTTTTCTATTGTGATGCTGTTGAGGTCAGGCCAGTGAAGACAGCATGTACCAAAGTGGTCATGTGTATCCAGGAGGGTTTGCATCGCTTTTATGTTTCCACTTCACATCCTCCCAATGACTCACAAGCTTACTCAGACATTCCACAAGGTGTCTGTTCTCCTTTTTATTACTTTTGAAGCAAGCAAACAATAGCAAGTTATCATGTCATCACAAACTTTGAGTCCTCCTTGCACGGATTCTTGATTCCATTCTCATAGTTCCACAAGAGATTTATTCAGAGGTCTTCTGAGAAAATAGCCTCGCAGTTTACAAGTCTCTGCCTAGGATTCATTTTAAGTATTGACAGTGGTACTCTGTAAGAATATAATGCTCTATGAAGAACTTGAACTACTTTTCTGGGGTTGAGTTTTTTGTATGTGGTCATCTGTGGTACTTGACTACTTGAGATGAGACGTGATAAGGGTGATGCTGTTAAAGAGGAACCAGTGGAAAGAAGAACTGCCCTTGCCCGAGACCCTGCGGGCAGGATGTGGCTGTAAATTTTTTTATTTTGTTTCTTCTTATTTACAGCCATGAGGTTTTCTAAAAAATACCTCTAAGCATTTTATATTAAAATTTATGTTCCTTTTAGTAGCATTCATGCATGCATATTTTATATGATGATTTTTTAAAAACCCGTGTGTCCTCACCCCTCCCCATGTACCACAGCTAGCAACATTGAAATATTTCCATATACTATGAACAGCTTTTACACTTTTGTTGTGGGAGAGATGAAAAAGAAATAGCTATATTGATTTCTTAATACCATAAGTATACATTTAAGAATGACATTTTATTCAGAAGAAACTATTAACAGTGGACTGAAATAGTGGATAGTATTACTGAATAACTGAATTTATTTCAGAGTGATAATAGAGAATGTTCTTATTTCTGGGAGTTGTATGCTAAAGTATTTATAAATGAAATATCATGATATCTGTAACTTACTCTCATGGTTCAGCTAAAACCATAAAAATATATATGTATGTATGTGTGTTACATGCACATAGAAACAAAGCAAATGTAAGAGTATTAAAAAACAGTGAATCTAGCATATGGGTGTCTATTGTACTATTGTAGCTTTTCTGTAGGTTCAGAATTTTTTTTATAAATATTGGGAGAGAAAATAACAATAAACAACTATACTTTCCTACAGTACTCATTTTCTCACTAATTAGATTAATTTGTTACAGCATCAATATTTGAAGTATTTATTTAATATTAGATTTAGAAACATTTAAACAGTAAAGAACTATATTTTTCTCTCACACTGCTTTTTCGATTTATGAATTCTAAAGTCACGAGGTCAGGAAGTTCCAACTTCCTTCTAGCAGTTGGTACTTTGGGTCAGGAAAATAACTTCTTGCTGAGTATACACTGGAGAAAAGTTCCTTACTGCAGAGAAGCCATTAATTCTTTCTGTATTATGTCATTAAAAGTCCCTGTTGGCTATAGCAGCCTTTTGTATAAACTGTGTCATTGAATGGTTCATCTCAGCTATTTGTGGGCAGTTGATATTTAATAAGTAATATCTCTGTCCCTCTCCCTCTTTTTCTTCTTGGGTAAATGTTGGGAAAAAGAGATCTAGTTGTCCTGATTTTCCTGGTCGTCCTAATTATTATTATTCCATTGTAATCTATTTTGTCTCTCTAGGCCAGGGTATCTAAATTGCTTCAAAGCCAAATTCAGCAGCAAAATTGGACTGATGATGGCTCCCCATCTGCTCGAGAGTTGCGGTCAGCCTTGCTAGAATTTGCCTGCGTCCACAACCTAGAGAACTGCAGCACTACTGCCTTGAAGCTGTTTGACGAGTGGGTTGCATCCAATGGAACTCTAAGGTGAGGTGTGCTTTTACTCAGATGAACTCTCTTCCTCATCTTTACTTCACATCATGTACTAAAAGCAGGATCTTTTCATCCTGGGTCATACATGTTATAAAACTGAGTGTTAATGTGTGTGAACTCTAGGCACTTATGTTCTCAAATAAGACTTTTTTTTTTCTTGTGGCAAATTACATGTAGCATTTCCTATCTTAACAAATTTTAAATGTACAAGTTGGTAGTATAAGCATATTCACCTCGTTGTGCAACAAATCTCCAGAACTTTATCTTGCAAAACCGAAACTTCTTACTCAAATAAGTCCCCGCCTTCCCTTTTCCCCAAGCCCCTGGAAACTACCGTTCTCCTTTCTATTTTATGAGTTTGTACTGCTCTAAATGCCTCATTTATGTGAAATCATACAGTATTTGTTTTTCTGTGACTGGCTGTTTCACTTAACATGTCCTCAGGCTTTATCCATGTTGTGGTATGTGTCAGAATTTTCTTCCTTTTTAAGGCTGAATAATCAATCCATTGTATGTATATACCACATTTTGCTTACCCATTCATTCACTAATAGATATTTGGGTTGCTTCCACCTTTTGGCTCTTACCAATAATGCTGCTATGATCATGGATGTACATATATGTTTTTGAAGCCCTGCTTTCAGTTATTTCAAATATATACCCAGAAGTAGGATTGCTGGATCATATGGTCATTCTATTTTTAATATTTTGAGAAACTGACACACTATTTCCCATAGCAGCTATACCATTTTACATTCCCGCCAACAATGCACAAGGGTTCCTTCCAATTTCTCCACATCCTCACCAACACTTGTTATTTTCTGGGTTGTGTGTGTGTGTGTGTGTGTGTCTGTGTGTGTGTCTGTGTGTGTTTTATAGCAACCATCCTAATGGGTGTGAGGTGTCAAAGAGTCTCTTTTAATTTAGGAATAAAACATAGCAGGTGGAGTTAGCAATTAGTAAAAACAGTTTGATGATGATCGGTTCTCTCTAGGTTCCCTATTGGACATTATGGAAAAAGATTCAAGCATCAGATAAAGAGATTTTAATAATGGCAGAAAACTATGTTCCCTCCCCTCTTCTAATCCCTCGCTCCATATTTCTACCATGGAACTTAACACACTGTATTGTAATGAATATATTTCTTGTTCTGTACTTTGTGATAGCCTGCGAGTTCCTAGAGGCAGAGACTGTGTCTCTTTCTTCCCCTCTCCATTATCCAGCCAGTCACCTGCTTGGTTCTTTGTGGGTGCTCAGCAAATAGTTATTGTATTAAATTGAAGTCATATTTCTTCTAGTCCCACCAACTAGGAAAGTAGCAGCCAGTAAATTAACTATTTTTTTCACTATTGGTTAGTTGTACAGTGAAGACTCTTTTGTACTGCTCTGCTCTGACCCCTAAAACATCACCACTAGTCATTTCCTTACCTTTGAATTTAGGATGTTTTTGTTCTCACATTTGAGTACCTCTCTTACAGCCTACCTACTGATGTCATGACTGCTGTGTTCAAAGTCGGAGCAAGGACTGAGAGCGGCTGGTCGTTCCTCTTAAGCAAGTACATCTCTATAGGCTCTGAAGCAGAGAAGAATAAAATACTTGAAGCTCTTGCCAGCTCAGAGGATGTACGGAAACTTTACTGGTATGAAACCAACCAAGGAATAGGACGTGTAGAAACCAAAAGTATGAAAGCATTGTGCTGCACGGGTGGAGAGCTCATTTCCTCTGGGATTTCCCTTTTCCTTCTTTTACTCGCAGGCCAGACCTGACTTGGTCAATAGGGTAAAGAGCCTGCATGTGCTGGCTTTCAGCTCAGGAACTGGACCGATAGGCAGAAGGTGCTTTGCCCAGAATCCCAGCACCCACCTACTTTATGCTTAAACATGGCTTCGCCCCCTTGGCATGTTGTCTTCATTCCACAGTTAGTGCTTCATTCTCCTGGTCAAGGCATTGCTCTGTCCAAGCTGTCATTTTGAAAATGCAAACACTACAGAAAAAGGTATTATGTAAAAGCGTATAGGCTCTACTTTCATATGAACTTGTCAGACATTTCCTTTCTAATATTGACCTGACAAAACCTGGAAATGGGAGTTTCACAGGCGAAAGAAGGGCAGTGAGCAGGGCCTCCTGACCCAGGAGCCAGCAGTGGTGGGGCAGAGGAGCACCGGGATCCAAGGGAAATATGAAAGGAGCTTGAGGGTCAGCGCTGGGAAGGTCAGAGGGAGGCATTGATGTGTCACTGCTTCTCTTGTATAAATGTACTCAGATAAATCCTAAGAGTGTCCCAGAGATGTCATCAGCACCGGCCCACACCTACTTTCCAAAGGATGCGCTGTAAATAATTATTTTCCTTAACGTAGTAGCCAGCCTCTGATCCAAGCAGAGAAAAGTTTGTTCTAAATTGGTAATAATTTTGTTTTAAACAAATAACACACTAATAAATTCCCATTATAAAGTATTTAAACAATATCTAAGAAAATGGAATAAAACATGAAAGTATCTCTCATATGATTCTCTCATAGGATCCTTACTTCCATTCTTGTTCTCTCTGCTAACAGTGTCAATCCTGGTCTGTATATTTATATATCAACACTAGAGGCCCAGCACACGATTAAATCGTGCGCGGTTAGGATCCCTAGGCCTAGCTGCAATCAGGGCCATGTCCGCCGCCCAGCATCGCTCCTCCACCTCCGTGGCCCCTGACCCCTGAACCTCCAAGCTCACAGCCCCCGCCCTGCGAGGCTCCTTGGCATCAGCCGCCCCTGCCCTGCAACCCTCCTTCACTGCCCCACGAAGCTCCATGATCACAACCCCTGCCCCACCTCCACCGCCCTGTGACACTCCTCCGCCTCAGCCACCGCCGCAACACTCCTTCGCCATACTCACAGCCCCCGCCCCGCTCCTCCACCTTGAGTCCACCGCCCCTGCCCCGCAATGCTTCTCCACCTCTGCCACCCCGGGAAGCTCCATGCTCACAGCCCCCTGCCCCGAGGCTCCTCAGCCTCCACAGCCCCGATCCACCATGCCGTGAAAGCCGGACCTGCCCTTTGGTCATTTGGGCCCACAGCTCCCACTCCCTCAGCTCCCTAGCCTGCTGTTTGGTCATCCGTCCAGTGGTGACGGCACCTGGCTTTTTATATATATTAGGATAGTTTATACTATCCCCAGTGTTTTGTGATGGTCCTTTCAGCCAATGATCTTCTCTGAGATTTGCCATGTCAGTTCATGAAGCCTACTTCATTTGTTTGCATGGGTGCATAGCATTCCATAGTAGGTCTCCATCACAATTTGTTTAACCCATCACAGCTTGATGAGCACTTGGGTTTTCTTTCTATTAAAACTATTGCTGCGCCCTGACCGGTTTGGCTCAGTGGGTAGAGCATCAGCCTGCGGACTCAAGGGTCCCAGGTTTGAGTCCGGTCAAGGGCATGTACCTTTTTGCGGGCACATCCCCAGTGGGGGGTGTGCAAGAGGCAGCTGATCGATGTTTCTCTCTCATCGATGTTTCTAACTCTCTGTCCCTCTCCCTTCCTCTCTGTAAAAAAAAATCAAAATATATTTTTTAAAAAGTATTGCTGCATTTTGGGGGGGAAATGTGTTTTCTTTATATACACAGATTTCATAGCGCAGTAGATAACTGCTTGTGTTCAGATGCCAGGCTGCAGCATTTACTAGCAGTGTAACTGGGGCAATTACATAACCTCGGTTTCTCACAGAGTGGGCATAGTAATAATTACCTTTTTTCAAGTGTTGTTGTGTCAGCAATTTAAAACATTACCTGGTACATATGAAATATTAATAAATAATAACTATCAATATCAAGAGTATATTCTGAAATGTGTCTTCATTTTCATATTATTTAAACAGCCCAGTTTTTAAAGAGTAATAATATACCTTATATTAAAATCAATTTTTTTTCTGTTAAGGTTTTTAATAGGAAAAAAAATCAGTCTTCAGAATTATAAATTCTACCAGGGTTTATTTCTCAAATGTCTTTACTATATCAAGAAGTATGTATTATTATGTCACAGTATATTGAAATGCTTATCTCATTGGTGAATTCTTTCTTCATTTTTAAAAAAATGACAAGTTTTCAATCTATTGATCAATCTTAGACTAACCCAAAAGTGATATCCCTTGAATTGCTGCAGAGCTTTAATTAGGAGACCAGCACTAATCTAAGTTCAGTCATCACTTCATCATGAATTGTTATTTTGGAAGCTAAATCTGTTCGCTTTTCAGGTTAATGAAAACTAGCCTCAGTGGAGATACCATCCGAACACAAAAGCTGTCATTTGTCATAAGAACAGTGGGCCGACATTTCCCTGGACACCTACTGGCATGGGATTTCGTCAAAGAGAACTGGAACAAGCTTGTACAGAAGTAAGTGTCTCAGAATTCCAGATCCTAGTGTTTCCAGTCTCTGCACTTGAAAACTATTCCCAATGTTGTATTGGTTCACAGGCCTTATGATTTGCTGTGAGAGGAAAATGCTTCAGTAACATTTAACCAAAACACTCAGAAATTTTCACATTTGTAAGCATAATTCCATAATGTGAATCACATTTGGATACTAATCAAGCCTAGCCATGCCCGACTCCAGGTCACTTAGCTTAGCATGGGCACGGGCTAACTCAGAAGAGCGGTTTAGTTATGTGTGTTGAAAAATGCCTCTTCATTGCCAAGGGATCAGTTCAGAACTCACACCCAGGTAAACAGCACAGATAGGGTTTTTTTTCTTTTAAAGCAATGATTACATTTCAGGATGTTTGCTATGATTTCAAATGGGTTAATAATTTATCTGGGTATTGCCAGCTCCTGCCTTTTGTGCCCACCTTTCCTTCCCACAGGCAGTAAGTGCATGTAGGACTTCTCCCGACTTCTGGAGCTGCTGTTCCCAGCAGAGGGACGCGACTCTGCCTTGGCATACGTAGCTCTCAGGAAAGCATTTCCTTTGCACTCGGGAACTTAGCTTACCAACAGCTGCCTCACTTTTTGCTCTTTTTGCTCTTGTATTTGTGTTTCTTCAGGTTCCATCTGGGTTCCTATACCATACAAAGTATTGTTGCTGGATCAACTCACCTGTTTTCAACGAAGGCACATTTGTCGGAGGTTAGTTGTATAAAATGCTGCTAACGGAGATGGGGTATACCTTTCCTCTCAGGCTGCTCAGTTTAAGTCAGATGGTGGCTTTTCATGCCAATTCCTGTCCCTCCTCTGCCTTCATCAATGCTAATGATTCTGCATTGGGATGCATCTAAAGGGTGGATATACAGCAATGAGAAACAATTCTGGTGAGGAAAAACTCTGATTCCATTCTCAACAATATCCCCTTGTCTCCTTGACACAAATAATTTTGTAATTAAGACCAGTATATGCCAAGTTTCTAAGTGGTAATGAGATTGTTGTGAAGAATGCAACTTCAAGGGTAAAAGTTGGGCACCAAGCCTAACTTTAGACTTTATCTCACTTACTATTACTTCGCTATTTTATTTTATATTTGAAAAACTCATCCTTATGGGAGTAAGGAGATTGCATTTTTAAAATTACCTCAGTTTAACCATACTTGATTAGTAACTTGATATAACTACCCTGGATATTAAAATACTTTTTGTCTCTACTTTTAAGACGTCAACACAGCCAGAACTAAGTGAACGTTTATTTGAAAAGGATATTCAGAGTTACCTGAGTTAACTGTTATTTTCTTCTTTTGAAATATTTCTGTGTGCAACTTACAGGTCCAGGCATTCTTTGAAAATCAGTCAGAGGCAACCTTTCAGCTTCGTTGTGTCCAGGAGGCTTTGGAAGTCATTCAGTTGAATATCCAGTGGATGGAGAAGAACCTTAAAACTCTGACGTGGTGGCTGTAGCATGCACAACTGCACCTCATTTTGTCACCCGTCAGAGAGCTTGTGAACTTGGGCTCTGTTTGTTAACTTTTGCAAAAGCCAAGGTGAAGCCAAGGATCGCTGCTGAGTTGTTTGCACTCTTAGGAGTTGTAGTTCGCTCAGGGTCCATCGGTCTTTCTGAAACATCTTTGGGCAGTACGTAGTTATTTATTACAAAATTACATTCACTTATATGCCAACCATCTACAAAAACAACAAGTAATGTGTATACTTTGAAGATACCCAAATGGGGAATAAAATGGCTTGGAATTCTGTTCTATTTCTCAGTATCGGTAAAGTACTGGCCCAGTGAAACAAGGAAAGACCTACCATGGGAGCCGCCAGCCATCGTTGCAGGCTGCTGGTTTGTGAGCCATTTGTTGCTTCTTGTTGATAGAGTTGTTGAATGTGGTAACACTTCAAAAAGTATGGCAATCAGTGAAGTCAATGAAGCATGCAACTGTAGAGAGCTCATCTCAGGTGTGCAGATCTACTTTGATTTGAGGTTTTGATTAATCCTTTATTTCCTGGAAAATTTTTAAATAAGATCTACTGTAACTATTATATTTTTTTCTGCAGAATAGCTAGGTGCTACAGAATTTTTAAATTTTTGTTATATTAAACAGCTAAATAACAAGGCCAAAAGATTATATTTTCCCAATGTTTAACATTTTCTTTTTCATCTTTTAGGAAAATGTTTCAAACTAAGATAGCTTTAATTATAATTATTTTATTCATAAGTTTCAATATTCTCCATATCTGTACACCTCTACCATTCCCTGCCCTAGATATACCTTATATAAATAAGTATTTTCACAGTTATGGCAAACATTTTGTTATACTGGTGTCTTTTATCATTACTTTATCACTGTTACTAAAAATATAGGTTGTTTTTAGATGCCTTTTGGCATGATAGATTTTAGACACTTTCTCTCTGAATCATACCCATGGGTGGGTTTTTCATTTTATATGATAGAGTAGCACATTAGAAACATTTTAAAGTAGGGCCTTGGAGAAATTGAACATTTTTATTTGAAGTTCACCATAGTACCTTAAAGGAATGAGAGAATGTGAGAAAGGAGTAACTTGATTCATATGGAATATGGTGGGCTTTGAATTTTTCCCCACTATCAAATACAGTACTTTTCTTTAGTTGAAAAATCATAGTTTTATTTTACCATGGCCAAACTAGCAAATTAAAGGGAATGTCAAAAGAAGGAAGGAAGGAAGGAAGGAAGGAAGGAAGGAAGGAAGGAAGGAAGGAAGGAAGGAAAGGAAGGAGAAATCCAAAACTGTATGGCATTTTTACTCCTTCTAAAGGAGAAATACTGTACTTGAATTTTGTGAGCTCTGCAGACTTATATTTAGATTATGGTGTTTCTTTGATTCTTAGGAGAAAAGCTTTCTTCCAAATAATTCTTGTACTTTATATTGTGTTTGAAAACATATTTGTAAAAAGAGGATAATTCCCATTTTCAAGCACTTAAAAACACTCCACAGAATCAGACAATGGGAAAGGTCACCTTTTTTTATTCAGCAAGTGTAAAGTGAAAACGTGGGATTGTGTATAAAACTATATTTTATTTTATGAAAATATTTTTATATAACAAAATTTAAAAGGCTGGCAAACTGAAATATAGCTTTCTTTACTCCTAGTATGTTTTCACCCAATTTAGTCTTTTCTAAATATTTATCTGTCTGTTTTAGAATAGAAAACATTATATCCTGAGAATCACAGCATCATCTGAAGATGTCTTATTGAAACTGGGGTAACTGTAGGTTTTTATTCCTCTTGTGCTTCAGTAAATGAATGATAATTTAGTTGATAGTGAAAGTTAGTGAGTTTTTATATTTTTAGAGTGGGGAAAAATATTAAACTTTTGAGGTTTTTTGTTGTTGCTGGGTTGTTTTTTTACCATGTTATATTACTAAATTCCACTTTGATACAGAGTTTAAATTTTGCTACTTCTCAAATTCAGTTAAGATGCTTCAGTTTTATCTGCTCATCTTCACATGGCTCCTGTATCATGTGTTAACTGCATATGGCAGATCTTGTCCTGAATTATATCATTTTTTCCTGTGAGAGTGTGTGTGTGGTATAGGGGTGTGTGTTACTATTATAAGTAAAACCTTATCAAAACTTCAGCTAAGAAAGAGGTAACTCATATACCATTGCTATCTTTGTACTCAAAAGCCGTTCATTCCCATGAAACCGGATCCCTACTATTTATAGTTGTGTTTGTGGGCCTCACCTCAGACTATTTGCAGTTTTAGTAGGTCTTACCTCAAGTTTTCCCACAGAATTCCGTAATTTTCATTGTTATGCTAATCAATCTATATGAGACATCTAAAAATTAACCTAAATCAGGAACATAAGGTTAAGTAAAACATGTAGTATAGTAAGTATAATTGTAGCTTTTGAAGTTTTTCCCCAAAAACTTTATCTTGGCCACTGAATTTCTGAGAAGTCAAGTAGACTGAAGCACAGCAGTTAGCCACAGTATGCTTTTTTATATAAGCACATAGGTCCATAATACAATTGTTTAACAAGTATTATATTCATTGCAGAGAGACAGTCTGCTTGAATGTAATGTCAAGGACACATCTTGATCCTTAGGAAACATAGAATGGAAAATCTGGAGTTGTGGGAACACAAAACTTAGGCTATGAAAGTAGAAATCCAAGGAGTCCAGTTTGTTCTGTTAATATCAAGTGATTAGAAGTATTAAACTGCAAGGAGTGTCAGCCTCTACCATAAGCCTGCGCCTTCTTCCATCTTACTGATTTACATAAATCTCTTTAAGTGAATTTAAGTGTTCTCTGTCATTGTTTCAGTGTTCATGAACTTTCTTGCTATCACAGGTTCCACTTGACTCTAATATTCTTTGCCATTCATGTTTTCATTTTATTGTACTTGTCCATTGTAGGAACAAAAGAGCTGGCAGAAGAGCCCTGGGTACATAGAGGATGTTGAGCTGCATCAGTCTTACTGGGTACAGAATAGAATGCTTTCTGAATATTGTACAGTAAGAAATGAAAATTAAGTGCTGAGTTTGTTGGATTACTGATAGCCTGTTACCGAGTTGGATTTTAAAAACATTCTACTCAGACTAAAGCACCTGGAACCATAATCTGCAGTCAGATTGCTGACCATTCCCATAATGCCTTTGCATTTCATGGGGCTGCCGGGAAGGCCTATGCATCTCAGGAGATGTATCATCAGCAAGCATAGCAGTTCCTGGGCTAAGTTTGCAGAATAAGACCTGAATTTCCTAGGTATGAGGTAGCTCTTCTTCTCCCCTTTGCCTTTGTTTTTAGTGTTTTTATTGGAATTAACTCTCTTTTTAAAGAGCTTCCCCTCAGCCCCATTTTTATTTTTTAAAATAATGTATATAATTTTGCTGTTTTTTGCATTCTTGTATTGTGTGCTTCATTCTCTGTATTGGCAAGTAAGTACCAAATGAAAAGTGGAGGTCCAGAAGTATGATAAATCTCCTCTTCTCCCTTTCCCTTATTGCCGGCATGGGCAATCGCTAGTAGAGTAGTGTTGACTGATTTCTTTCAGTGGCTTTTGGGGGGTATATACTTGAAATATGTACATAGGTGGTTTTGATGTGTTTTTATATCCTTTCATTTTGTATATTTTGTCCTGATGAAAAGTGAAATATTGTCCATGAAAATCTCTTCTGCCTTCCCATAGTGTCTGTGTGGGCAACAGCTCTAGAGTAGATTTTTATTTCCTTTTTTGGAAGGAGGTGGTGATATTGAGAGGTGAGCAGAGTATGTTCTTTTAAAAACATGTACAAAATGTTTTTGCTGCTATTTTGTGGGTGTTGTTTCATTTTGTATTTCGTTCATCCTTCTCATGGATAATGAAGCGTGGAGATCCAGAAGTCGGACAAATGTCCCGTTTACCCCTTTCCTTGTTGCCTGCATGGACAATAGCTAATAGAGTAGTGGTTGCTGTTGTTTTGATCTAGGCTTAGGTATAGGGGGAGATGTATATCATTCTTTCAGGTGTACATAAATGCTATGCTACTTATTTATTTTTCATTTTATAAATGTTCTTTTGCATGGATGCATTATATACTTAATGAAACAGGTTCAGAGAATGACAGATTTTTTTTTCCTTATTGCCTCTTTGGACAGTAACTGATAGAGTAGTTTGCTTTGTATTGTGGTGTAGGAGAGAATGGGGTATGTACTTACTGTATCTAAATAAGTTTGCTACCACTTTGTACTATTAATTCATTTCGTACAATGTCCTTCTCATAGGACATTTAAGTGCCCAATGACATGTGGAGGTTGGATGTATGACAGTCTCCTCTGGTCCCCTTCCCTTATTGCCTATGTGGGCAATGGCTAGTAGTGTAGTTGTTGGAGTGGGTTTGGGGGGGGGGCAGGGGAAGATGGGCAGGGATGTGTACTTACTGTATATACCTGTTTTTACTACTGTGTTGTATTATTTCATTGGTTGCCCAGACTGAAAAGTACCTAATGACCCATGGAGGTCCGGATGTATGAGTCCCTCTTCTCCCCTTTTCATATTGCCCGAGTGGGCAATGGCTGTTAGTACTTGGTTAGTTTCAGGGTTCTTTTGTGGTTATTGGGATAAATGCTTTGTACTTTCTTATTATCATTTTCATTGGGCACCAATCCTTCACTTGGACATGTAGGTTCCTAATGAACCATGGAGTTCTGGATGTATAGCAATCTCCTATTCTCCCTTTCCCTTTTTATCTCTGTAGGCAACAATTTTAAAGTAGTTTGTGTGTTTTTTTGAAGTTTTGGGGGGTGGGAAGGGACTAAGGGCTGGATATATCCTTTTAACAACTGTATATATAGTGTTTGTTACTGTGTTGTGTTAGTGCATTCTGTACCCCGTCCCTTACTTGGACGTGTAGGTACCGAATGAGACGTGGAGGTCCGGATGTATGAAAATCTCCTCTTTTCCCCTTTCCTTATTGCCTCTGTGGGCAATAGTTTTAGAGTAGCCTAGATTATTTTTTTACTCTACCACTCCTTCCCCTGGGATGGTGGTAATATGTACTTTTAAAAATGTATATAAATGTTTTTGCTCTTTTTTGTTATTTCATTTTGTACCTAGACCTTTCCAAGAACAACTTAGGTACATGATGAAAATTAAGGTTCATTCTATGAAAAAAAATCTCCTCTTCTCCCCTTCCCTTATTGCCTGTCGAGGCAATGACTAGTGGTATAGTTGTTCAGAGGTTTGGGGGTTTGCTTTTTTCCCTTGCAGGGTTATAGGGGATTTCTGGGTTGGGTGTGTGTGTGTGTGTGTGTGTGTGTGTAAATGTTTGTTTGGACTTGTAGATATCAAATGTAATGCAGAGGCCCAGATCCAGAGGTGTAGTAAATCTTTTCTCCCTTACCCTGTAGCCTGTGTTCATGAGAATACTATAGGGTTTGGGTTTTGTTTTTGTTTGTTTTTTTGCTTATTGTTTGAGATTTTAATGGGGAATTGGCTTCTTGGGCAAGATATGTAAATTTTTAATTGCATATAAATGTTTTGCCTCTTTGTTCACTTCATTTTGAATCGAGTTCTTTGCATGACTATTAAGGTACTTAATGAAATTTGAGGTTGATTCTATGAAATATCTTCCCTATACCCCTTCCATCATTGCCTGGTGGGCAATGGTAGAAGAATAGATGTTTGGGTGCTTTTTTGGAGGGATAGGGGGGTGGTGTGTGTGTGTGTGTGTGTGTGTGTGTGTGTGTGCGCGCGCATTTTTAATGTATATAAGTATTTGCTACATTTGTGTATTATTTCATTTAGTACTCAGTCCTTTCCTGGGACTCTAGGTACATAATGAAACATGGAGGTCCAAACCTATGATAAATCTCCTCTACGCCCCTTCCCTCACTGCCGGCACAGGCAATAGTTTTATAATTTGGGTTTGGTTTTTAGGGGGAGGGATTATTTGGGTGGGTAGGGTTGGGGGAAAGGGTGGGGTATGAACATTAATATATATATGTACATATTACTAATTTTGTACCTAGTCCTTTGCATGAATGTATAGGTACAAATGAAAACTGAGGATCAGTGTATGACAGATCTCCCCTCCCCGGCCCCTTATTGCCTGTGTAGGCAATAGTGACTAGAATAGTTGTGTGTTGTTTACTGTCTTGTTTCTTTTGGAGAGATTTATATTTTCAGCAGGGGAATATTTTTAATACATATAAATATGTTTTTATTTCTTTGTTATTTCATTTGTATTTAGTCCTTTGCATGGCTATGTAGGGGCCTAATGAAAATTGAGTTTCATAAATTGACAGATCATTTCCTCCTTTCCCACAGATTTCCTCGGTTAGCTGTAGCTAGTATAATTGTTGTTTTGTGGTTAGTTTGTTTTATTTTCCAGCATGTATGCCTTTAAAGATGTAAATATACACAGATATACAGAATTTGCTTTTTTTCTAATAATTTTCCTTTACTACTTAGTCCCTTGAAGAGCTCTGAATATACCTAACAAAAATAAAGTTTCACCAAGTCCCTGCCTCTGACTTGAAGGCATTGCATTGTGGTGATGTCACTAATGGCAATGGGCATGTAGCCAATAAGATGGGAGAAGACACTTGGACATGGCTAATCAGTTTCCGCTTTTCCTACTTTCATTCAAACTGAATGAAATGGTGGGAAGGGACCTGAACATTGGAAATCCCAGAAAGGCAAGAGGACAGTACTAAGTGAAAGTATGTTTAAAGTTTATTGCTGGTTAATCTTTCAGTGACTGGTAAGCCAATAAAAGTGCCTTGAGAGTAGCTTCTTTTAAGTCTGGAATCCTATTCATCTACAGAAGTCTGTTGCAGTCCATCAATAGCATTTTCTTGTGTACCCAGTAAAAATTATTTTGGTTTTTGGAATGAAACTTTTGAGTTATTGCCATGGTTCTGGTGAATGAAAAAATGGGCAATAGTTTTATAACCCAAAAACTAACCCAAAAATAATTTGTGGGACAAGCCCTTCTATCTTTCAGCACCCACGTGTATGTGGAAGGGCAAGTTGGTCCTTTCCTACCCAGAGCTCTTCTGTGTGGCGACACCTTCCTCCTCAGTTCTCCACTAGCTGGATCATTCCTATTCTTCCTTCCTTTTTTCTTCAGTGCCTATACCATTAGATGTTCTCTGCAAGTGCACTGAAAAATGTAAGCCAGTGTTGCCTCATTAGCTGTATGCTTTTGCATACATTTCATACATTCAGACCTGTATGTTTGCTTTCACCATTCTCAAGCATACATCACATTGACTCTTCATCCACCACAAAGTAAATATGACTCCACATTTGTCTGTATCAAAGAAAACACATGTGTAAATCCACCCTCTGTCCCTCTCTTCCTCCCTTTCTTCCTCCCTTGCTTCCTTCCTTCACGCTTCTGGGCATCATTGGTTTATTGTGCAATTTATAATGAATATAATGCTGAAGAGTTGCCATATTGCTATTACATTTTTAGAAACATTGAGTGATAGGACTCCTAGAAAATTTCAGAGATTTTATTTATCACATCAAACTCTCAGGCTCTAGTGTTGAAAATTAGCCTACACTTTGCTGTTACTTATACCTGCTGTTGTAGAAAAGAAATAAGAGCTTATTCATGACACATTTAACTTTAATCATAAATAAAAAAGAAGGGGCACCTTTTTAGAGTTAGTCATGGTAGTTAGTGATATTTCTGAACAGCTTTTAATTTAAAATACTTCAAAGAAAGTAAAGGTCATGGCTTAGCTGACTGAAATGCTCCAGAAGTTGAACTATATAAACCATTAGTACAATAATACACCAGTGTGTGCGTGCGTGTGTGTAAAATAAGAATTCCAAAATAATTGGAGCATTTGCATTAATCAACAAAACTCACATTAAGACAAAACTTAGTCTTACAGCTGTCTTGACTCAAGCCAAGTGTTCCATGTCGCTGTAAAGAATAGTCTCTTTCAAACACTTTGAAAAGTAATCACTTGGAAACTTGTAAAGGTATCACATTTTTGTATTAAAACACCTATGGAGATCTCCAATTCTTAGAATCTGAGCTTGTGGGTGGAATTCTAAATTTATATCATAATCTGTCTTTTGTGGATGTTTTTGAAAATAGTATGTGTGTATGTATATATATATATATATAAAACATTATATATGCAAATTGTGTTGTATTACTTGTAAAGGGAAAAAGCTTATTTTTCTTTATACTTCTGATAACTTGTTTTGCATATGACCAGCACTGACTGAAAGGCATGTGTACTGCAAACACTGTTGCTTTTTGTGTGAAATGAAAATAAAAGTATTTAAATATAAATATTGTGTGGACTATTTGGATGAAAAAAACTTACAGGGGTGGGCAAACGTAGGTTCACAATTGTGAGTACGTGAAAAATAGTTTATTCTTGTATTATTTATTATTGTATTACTTATTTGTATTATTTGTCTTCTTATTGTTATTATTTCGTATCCTCAATTATGATTTATCTTTTAGGTAATGATGGCTGATAATTTAACCTACTTTTGCCCACCCCTGTATATAAAGGAGGTATTGTCTCAGATTATGAACTCTACCAGGACAACGACCATATTTTATTGTTTTTCATAACTTGTTTCCTACCTTACCAGTACCCCAGTATCCTTACCGCACGTTGACTCAAGGTTTCTCACACTGTGACATTTTGGGCTCCTATGCCTTGTGTGATGATTAGCAGCATCCCTGGCCTCTAATGCAAATAGCAACCCCCAGCCCCCAGTGTGACAACTAAAAATGTCTCCAGACATAGCCAGATGTCCCCTGGGGTGGGGAGTGGGGATTAAAACATTCAGTGGTTGCATGGAGCGGGGGCTCAGTAACAGATGAACTCCATCTAGGGCAATTATTTACTCTGTAGCTGATGTGATTCTTGGAAATACTCATGTCACTTGAGTAGCCAATTGATGCAGTAATAATTACCCTAAGTTCCTAAATAAATCTAAGACATAACTTCTTAAGCCAGTGAAACCAGGGAACACTCACTATCTTAAGTTGAAGGTGAAAGGACATTGGTTGTCATCAGGGAAAAGCCCTGGACCTGACTAATCTGCAGCAGAGGTAATACTATACACCTTGCAGTAAAAACATGAGGAATTAGGTCTATGAGAAAGACCTAGTACTTCACAGGTGCTTGGTAAATACTCCTTTCCTTTCCATTTGCCTGAAATATGCAAAAGAATCACACATGTCTAAGTCTCACTTCTAGCTAGAAAACATTGCCTACACCTATGACACTGAGAAATTGGCCAAATATAGGCTCTCTGAGTGCTAGAAGGAACCCTGCAAATGACTTAGTCTAACTCCCTCATTTTACAGAGAAAGCGAGGGCACCAGAGGTTGTGCCTTACCTCAGACCTCCATAATGTCACATGTTAAGTTTGTGTATGTGTTTGTAGTAGAAACAACTTGTGTGTATTACCTTTGAGCCTAATGATGTGCAGTTACCTGCAGGAGACTGTTTCCTTGGAGACACGAGGATTAGAATGTACTATCGAAAGTGTTGTTTCATTTTCATGTGGACTGTAAAGCTAAATTAAACTGTCCCAACATTTCACTTTTAAACTTGATGGTGTGAATCATCTAGATATCGTAATCCCAAAAGAGTGGCCTTTCCTGTATGCTTACTAGCAGACTGAGTAGGTTGTGTTGAAGTGCCTGTCTCAGGTGGAAGATAACTCATGTCAGGGAGGTTTAGACAGACTTCTCTCACCCCAAAGGGGACTTCAGGAAGGAGGGAGGTGGGTTAATGGTGAGTCATGTGCTGTAATGGGTGAAGAACTGGATGGAAGGAACATAAATATCCAACAACTACAGGTAGAAGGTGAAATGAACCATTTTTCTAAAGTGGTTGAAGTCAGCCTGAGATGGGCCCTCTGTCCTCAGGTAGGCCATAGAATCTAGACCAGTGATTTCAACCTTTTCATCTCATGGCACACATAAACTGATTGCTAAAATTCTGCGGCACACCAAAAAGCATACTTTTTGCCGATCTGACAAAAAAAATAGGGAGAAACTATTAACACCAGATGGGCTATTGTTGTGTTGGCTATTGTTTTATTTTTTTATTTGACAATCTGAGGGAAAAGAGGTCAGTGTCCCTGATTAAATAGGCAGGTATGGATGGCATGTTTTTACAATTCTTATGGCACAGCAGTGTGCTGAGGCACACTGGTTGAAAATCGCTGTCCTAGACCATGGGTGCCGACTGCTGTCCTTTCCTGCTTTTCAACAGAAAAGTCATTGAAACTCACAGAGGGGAGTGTGAGAGGGAAGTTACTCTTACATGCTACAACAAGCTTCATCTTCACTTAATATTTTCCTTCTCCAGAGCCTTTTCTTTTATCTCACCATTTCTGGGGGATCTGTTCACCTACCTATTTTATCCAAAGTGTGCACGCACACACCTTGCTGACTGCTCATTCTTGCTTCTAGATATTCCCCTGAACTTGAAATGTCTCCTACATCCAGATGCACATGGCCAAGTGCACCAGGAACTCAGTGAGACCGATGGCCTGTAGTTAGCAGCTGGCCCCATGGTTTAGGATCAATCTGTGGCCTTTTGCTATTTGGATATCTTCCTTGGAGTCTCACCCCTCACTCCAGGCAGCTTATCAACTGTTCATTTCAAAGAAACACATTGTTCTCATAAAAGGGAACTATGTACCTCTTTAGGTTGATAACCAATTTCCTCCTAACTGTTTTTCTAACCTAATATGAAAAATTGGCTTATAGTATCTGAGCACATCCTGGCTTTGGGTGAGAGAAAAACAGCCATAAATTGAACCAGTAGAAGAAGGAAGCTAGGCCATACTTTTAAGATGTTTTTCATGGGTCATTCATTCAATAAATATTTGCAATCCTCTACTATTCCCCAGGCCCTGTGCTAGGTGGGTCCATGAGGTTTGACTGTAATGTGAGCAGCTGGCTGCAGCTGGGAGAATGCCACCTGGGTTTTATAAACACTGCCTGCGTGGTGGGTGGTAGATCATTGAGGGCATTTGGTTTATGAGGAACAGAAGTAAAGGGTGTCACAGTGGGAGGTTGTAAGCTACGAGGCTGGTAGTGCTGCAGCCACTTCATAATAGCAACTGCCTTGAGTGGGCTGGGGTTGGGCACTCATTCCCCAGCCACAATTCTTTGTTGGCTCATTTGGATGTGCAGTGCAATGTGAGGAATGGGGGCCTTGCAACAGATGCTGCTTAAGTGCCCACATTTAATGCTTGTGTCACTGATTGGGAATAGAGGGCTTTTGATCCTCACCGAGTAACCACACAGGTATTACTTTCTAAGTGAATGATAAGAGGCAAGATGTTAATTTACTTCCTGTAAAGTTGTCGATTTAGGCAGCCTCGAAATCTTCAATGACCACCAAGGAAGTTTAGTTGTCCCTGACCAAGACTTGCTGCAGCAGGAACTCTGGAAGGTGGTACATGGGCTTGGTTGGAGGCCCTCTCACCCCAGGAGAGGAAAAGTAGTGCCAAGTCCCTGCAGGCAAGAATCTCCTGTAGGATCAGTGAGCAGGGTCCGTGTGGGGTAGGCAGGATGAATGCTAGTCCTCATGTGTGTTGCATGTTTACCTTCCTGAATGAGCCCACAAGCCTGTCCACCCCAGACTGAGGCTGAAGTCATGACTTGGTTCACCAGGAAATGTGGTCTCAAGAGACATTACCCCAAGTGCACAGAAGAGAACTGCAGCTCAGCCTTCTCAGCCGACAGCTGCTCCAGGAAAATGTCCTTTCACTCCTTACCAGGCAAGCTCTGCAGATGGTTGTCAGAAAAAGATCAAAGGGGCATTCAGACCAGACAAATTTAGTAAGAGGGGTGAGTATTTGATAGTATTGGGCACTGGACTTCTGTGGGAAAAGGCAGTCTGGCAAACCTCTCTGTGACATTTGCAGCTCCAGTCTTCACAAGTGTTAGTTCAAGGTGATGCCATTTTGAGACAGGTGCTTCATGATTTAGAATACTCAGCTTATTGATGCTCCATGCACACTAATGGTCTGCTTGGGAAGACCCTCGTGGGAGAGTGAGAAACATCCTGGAGCAGTGGAGCCTCTCCCTTGCCTCATGCAGGCCAGCCAGTGGCTGGGGATGAGGTGGAGAGAAGCAGGTGGATCAAAGCTTCTAACATCTCAAATGTATGGAGCTGCCCAGTTCCTCAACTCCATGTGTATCACTTTTATCCCCTTTCCTACTACTGATAAGAAACCCAACAACATATGTAAATGCTTATCCATTATGACCAAGTGGGATTTATACCAGGAATGCAAGGTTGGTTTAATATAAAAAAAAAATTCAGTTAATGTAACACATCATATCAAGGATACATCATAGAATACAAAATAAAAGCAACATGATCATAGCAGATGCAGGAAAGTATCTGATAAAAAACAATACACTTTTATGATAAAACACACAACAAAGAAGGAATGGAAGAGAACTTCCTCAATCTGCTAAAGAACATGTATGAGAAACCCATAGCTAATATCATCACCCCTAATGGTGAATATTGGAAGATTTCCTCCTAAGACCAGGAACAAGACAAAGATGTCCATGCTCACTATTTGTATGCAACATTGTACTGGAAGTTTGCAGATTGCATTAAGGTTGTTGATTAGTTGATCTTAAAATTAGGAGATTATCCTGGATTTTCTAGCTGGGCCCAATAGCATCGAAAGGGTCCTTAAAAGAGGAAGGAGACAGAAGAGGAGATCAAAGTGATGCCAGGTGAGCAGGACTCCACTTGTTTTTGCTGGTTTTGAAGATAAAGGAGGGGGGTCACCAGCCAATGAATGTGGGTCCCCCCTAAAGGCTGCAAAAATGAAGGAAGTGCCTACAGAGAGGGATGCAGCCTTGCCCAGGCTGTGAATAACTGGCGAAACCCATCTCAGATTTCTGGACCATAGAACTGTAAGATAAATTTTATGTGTTTAAACCACTGACATTTGTGGTAATTTGCTACAGTAACTGCAAAATAATGGGTGAGTGACTGCCATTGGAAAATTGGATCTGATCACTTGCTAAGAAACTAGCGGCTACAAATCCCACAATTTTTACCTCGGAGGAAGGAGCTCTAAGCTTCAGACAATTTATTACAAATGCAAATAGAGTTACCTGGCAACAAGAAAAAAACAGTTTCAGAAGCAGCCAGCTGGAGATTAGAGTCACCATCTTTCAGGCTGAGTTTCTTGTGTGCTTTTTTGTGTGTCTTAATCACTTTACTTTAAAAAATATCAAGAGAGTAATTCAAAAGCTATGTGTAAATCATCCCTCATGATTTT